AAAGAAGTTTCTTTCGTAATAATTTCTTAGCGGGGACGCCAAGCCCCGAAACCATCTCAAGGTAACCTCAAGATAATTCTCATAGTGCAGTTGAAGGTTCTTCAGAGTGAACTATTAGTTTGAAAGGGCATAGGGAGATACTCCGTGATGATAGAGGTGAGAGTGGAAGATGGATATTTTGGGGCAGCTTAAGGAGTGAGATTAGTTTATACCAAGAAGCTACACATAATTTTGATGGGTTATGTGATGAATTTGTTGTCAGGGACAGCATGCCTGTGTACTTGTATACTTTAGGCTTATATTGAGGTCTTCCCCAAGGTCGAACTTTTGACTCTACCCAGGAGACAGCCCACAATAGTTGGTCTATTCCTGGGTACCTATTTAATACTAGGTAAACGGAGGCATCAGATGAAAGGAAATGTAGCGAAGTGGTCGGTGCAGTCGGGTCACCACCGAAAGTCCCCGTGTTCATTTTTTGTAGCAGGACAGGCATGTTTGGGCTCATTTTTCTTAAACCTGATGCCTCTGTTCACCTAAGCAGTAAATAGTTAGATGGGAGTTAGGCAACAGTTGTGGGGTTGCATTCCAAGGAAGGTGAGTAATTGATGTAGGGAGTTGCTGATGAGCCTAACATGGTTCCTGTTCCTGATTATGGGAAGCCATGAATTGCACCGGGAATGGCTGTAGATTAAAATATGTGGATTGAAAGTTTATTTTTTGGGCGGTTTCGGTTTCGAAACCCCCTTTTAAGTCCTCGGCATCATTATCACCGTTGACATCATCAATGGCAGGTGAAAAAACATCATTGCTGTAGACTCAAGTTTTTTTCCAGGCATTTCTGAAATTTGACCTCGATACACTGAGCAGTTATGTACACAATGTGCAGGCGATGAGTCACAATAACGTGGCTGAAGTATGTTGACCAGACCACACACTAAAAGTTGAAGGGACGACGACGTCCCTTCAACTTTTAGTGTGTGGTCTGGTCATCAATACACAATGTGAATGTGGGAATGTAATCAGAATTTGTGCTTATGGTACTGCAGTGTAAAGCCTGGGTGCATGAGGACTATGTGGATACATTTATGAATACAGTATAAAAGCTTGTACTTGCCTAGTTGTGCTTGCTCCCTTGAGCTTTGGGTCTTTGGTCCGTTCCCTCAACTGTCAGTCAACTGGTGTACAGATTCCCTTAGTCTATTGGGTCTACATTTGAAACTGTTATTGAGTTTGCCTCCACCACATCACTGCCTAATGCATTTCATCTGTTAATTAATCTGACACTGAAACAGCTCTTTCTAATGTCCCTGTGGGTATGTGTGTGTGTCATTACCCCATGTATAATGACCTAAGTGGAATTTTAGACTTCCCTATAATCTGTATCATATGATGGTTTAAAATTACTCTACTAATGAAATATAAGGTCAAGGAATATATCTGTTGTTTGTCAGTGGCAGAAATAAAATAATGTTGTGGTTCACCTGGAGCCTCTGGCTTTTGCTAGCCTCCAGCTAGAGTTTTGGTGGGTGGTACCCAAGACTCTGGGTCCATGGTTTCTGGTTCTCACGCCTGAATCTTCTGGCTGTTGGTTCCCGATGTCACTCTGGCGATTTTGGTTTTGGCTAGCTGGTATCTTCTTACTTCATTGGTGGGCATCTTTTAACTGTTTGGTTAATTTCTGACATGGCTCTTGTTTCAGTTAGGGACTTGATGTGGATGGTGGACCTGAGTATTGGCTTTACCTAGGGTGTCCCTTAGTCTCGCCCAGCTTATGTTGGTGTTTGGCACACTGCTGGTGCCAAACATTGTACATGGCCTTTATTGTATTGACAAAGCCATTGTATATGGCTGCTTCTTCTGTATGGGACTGCATCTTCAGCCTTCTCACACAATTAAGACTTGGTGGCATTTATTGTTTCCTGCTTTGTTGTTTTCAGAAATGCCGGCCACCTCTGTTGACGCACCATTGGGAATCAGCTCAGAGAGCTACTTAGGAGGTTGTTCCAGAATTCAAGCATTAAATGTAATGAATTGCCCAATTCTGAGGGACCCTTAGTAGATCCCTGTCTTTATATTTTTCCTTGTTGCCTGTAGTGTGTTTGTGGTAGTTTGTGAGTGAGAAGCATTGTGGGTGGAACCTTGGGTGTCACCTTGTGGTGGTGAAGTGCATTACGATTAGCATATTTACCATGCGGCAACAGTCGTTTCCCTTGTTACTTCAAACAGTTGTTTGTTTTTGCACTTATACTTTCTGGCGGGGTTTTCTCTCTGAAGCACTGGGGGTTAATCTTTGGTTAAATCCCAAGCTACGTTTGCATTGTTAACAGGCAAATTTTGGCCCCGGATTCCAATTGTCTTGGGTGTGAAGCTACTCGGTCCACACCAAAATGATGTTTTGTTAAAATCAGTGTTTGAATTGTTTCCAAGAGAAGTTTAAATATTTTTTGAGTAGTGTACTCATTTCATCCATTATTATTAATAATTTTGTGAAAACTAATTATAGAATAAAACAAAGATGAGTGTGGCCACCAGTAAAAGCAATATATTTAATTGTAAATTTCGGTCAAATCGGCCAGTTGAGTATATTTTGGCACCCCATACCTATCCTGATTTTACGTGAGGGCCACTAATACTAGTGGCCTCGATGAGGACAGGCTTGTCAAAGGTCCTAAAGGTTTTGTGGGTTGTAAAGGTCGTGAGGGCCACTAATACTAGTGGCCTCGATGAGGACAGGCTTGTCAAAGGTCCTAAAGGTTTTGTGGGTTGTAAAGGTCGTGAGGGCCACTAATACTAGTGGCCTCGATGAGGACAGGCTTGTCAAAGGTCCTAAAGGTTTTGTGGGTTGTAAAGGTCGTGAGGGCCACTAATACTAGTGGTCTCGATGAGGACAGGCTTGTCAAAGGTCCTAAAGGTTTTGTGGGTTGTAAAGGTCGTGAGGGCCACTAATACTAGTGGTCTCGATGAGGACAGGCTTGTCAAAGGTCCTAAAGGTTTTGTGGGTTGTAAAGGTCGTGAGGGCCACTAATACTAGTGGCCTCGATGAGGACAGGCTTGTCAAAGGTCCTAAAGGTTTTGTGGGTTGTTGTAAAGGTTAACAAAGGGTCAATACAAAATATGTTTATTGTTGTACAGTACTTGGTTCATGTGAGATTTATATGACAACATTGACCATTTGCATCTGCTGATATTTTTATTGTAAGCTTTGTATGAAGTCTCCAGTTGAATAAAAAAATGATGTACAAATTGAAAATAATGAAAATATATGGTCATTCAAATTTGACCAAATTCAATCTTTAGTTGTTGAGTTTAGGGGGCAGTTTTTAGTGGGACAATGGTTGGTATGCAGCAAGATAAATATTGTCTGGGAGAACAGTCAAGTTGAGGTGACTTAAATAAACATATTAATGTAGAAAATTTTAAATCATTAGCATACTGTTCCAAACAGTAAATTGTTAGTAACACACACACAGGTTTTCTGACACTAAGAATGTGGTGCATTTGGTCACCCACTTCCTAATTATATTGTTACAGTTCTTATATGTAATATTGACCTCATTAAGACTGAAGTTTAATTAATGTTTTGTTTTTTTAGTTGAGTGAAAACTCTAAGAACCGAGCAGTTTCGTGTGTATTTTGTACGCAGTATCGATAATGGTATTTCAAGATATACTAACTTTGTCTAGCTTTTAATAAAAGCTTACATTTTATCATCTAATATGTGATGCTGCTGAGCTTAACCTGACAAGCGAGCATACCACGGTTAAGCTTAAGTACCAGTAGTCCCTACGGTAAAGGGATGAACTTAATTGCTTTGGAACCTCCCTAACAAATTAGTACGTTATAATTTTTCACGCACTTACCAACTCTGTCATGCCTTTCCAGTCTATGTTTATAGCACTTGGGAATACTGTACTGAATTTCTTCGTTGTCATTACAACTTGATTAAAATATTTCACGTGTAATGTCTAAATAGTCCAGCTAATTGCTGCCAATTTTACCGAAGTAACACTCTTCAACCTCAAAGCTAAATCCTTTCCATTCCCTAATGCCTATCCCTCCCACCCTGCCTCCCATACTAAAATAGCCATCGAGACCCCCACCCTCCCCTCCTCGATAGTCAGTGTTTTCTGGCTGGGCGCTCGGTAAGGCAGGCTGCGGTGGTGGCTGCCTGCCGTCTACCCCGCCACAGTCAGCTAGTAGTACTACTACCGTCCATCATACCTCCGTCTTGGGAGTCACCACGCAGCGTCGAGTAGTGTAAGTGAGGGCACCACAAACGGATTTCCCTACTGCAGCACATGTCAACTCTTGAGCATTATTCCTATCGTAGCGGCTGTCAGTGTTCACTACTTGTTCTCTTACTCCATGTTTCTTAACTCTCCCTCTCTTTTTGTTTCTCTCCTCTCTCTCTCTCTCTCATTCTTGTTTCTAATACCAAACGGGCAGGAGGGTTCTTGTTAATGTTTCTTGTTTGTTTAATGTCTACAAGTTTTATAACATAGTGTACTTATATTGGTCTCTTCAAGGACAGATTAAAGAAAGCAATGTTTAAGTTAAGGTGGTAATATTTCACATATATTAGTGCAGAATAATGATGAGAAGATATCTTTTTACAAGAATCACTTTAATCAATGCCATTCTTGTCACGTTACATGCAAAATGAACAAATATCCCAAAGTTATAAGAAATATGAATTAATTATTAGAAATGTTTTCTGTTGAGTTATAATTGTTGATGTATATTCTATAGTCGACTGAATAACTAGGCGTTTTAAACATAATAGATTTATAACATTGGTATTCGTTTGCTGTACGTATAATAATTATTGTCAAAGTTGTAATTACTGTGACGTGATCAAGTTTGGAATTAGAGGTTGCCACAATCAACAAATTGAAAGCTTGAGTGGTATTGTTGAAATAAAAAGCATACAAGTCGTCAAGATTTCATTGATAGTTGTGGCTTGACGTTGATTTATTTTGCTAACAATATTGTACCCCCAGGCCCCAATCCTGAAGAATCTACGGAATCAGAGCTTGGAATTGGTATCATCATTGCAATCGTAGTCATCGCAGTGCTCGTAATAGCTTTGGTTGTTGATGTGGCGTGCTTCTGTACAAATAATGCCGGTTTAACTGCTGCTATTCTCAGTAAGCGAGGGGCAAAGGATAAAGATAAAGAAGCCATGCTCGAGGATGGGAAAAATGCTAGGTAGGTAACCCCTTTATCATGCACATTTTTCTTTGGGTTCCCACTTTCTTTGATTTCTAAAAGTAGTTGTATGAGCATTTTGTATTTAGAAAACCTTTGTACATAATTTATACATTCAATCTCTAATTAGTTACCGTATTTGTATATATTTCATCTCTTACATAACTATTGTTCAGTACATACATCATCTATAGTTATTTAGACTGCTAGTCAGTATTTAATTCCCAATTAGACTACTAAAAGTAGTTTGTTAAGAGTTTTATACATATGCTTCTTAAAAAAGATAAGAAATTCATTGAGGCATTTAGCTACATAGATACCAGACTGACAATTGTGTAGATGTTACACATTGCCATCTTGACTCCCTCTTTAGTGCTGATACTCTCAATGAAGAATCCAAGGATGAAACGAAAACCATCGATGAAAAACCCGTCCCCGAGAAGGAGCTTCAGAAACCCCTCGAGAAAAGCGTAGACACTAAATCCGAGAAAGAGACGTAAGAGAGGCTATTCTAATAAAGTTAATAGTTGCTTATGATCGTGCATATTTTGCATTTAAGCTCTTTATAATTTCAAGCGGTGATGCTGTTTGCATGATAGATGGATTTAATTGTTTTTGCATAAGATTTGCAATGTGATTATATACTTTATTAGATTTAGGATTTTGAAACTATAATGCTGAAATGCCCTTTGCAAATATTGTATTCATCATGGAATACGATATAGAAGCCTCTCTTTTATTATTATTATTATTAAGCTCCTATCCCAGTTATTTTCAGGTTTTAGAGCTGCATCTAGCTTGCTGTTTTATGCCTTTGCCAGAATTATTACACGGCCTTTAGTGCTATAGTAAATCAGGTAAATGTCTTTTGCAAAACTCGGTTACAAGCTTCTTGAATATAATGCCTCGGTAATAGAAACGAAGGTGAAATATAATTATAAATATTATGCATGAAGTTAATGTAAATTGGTTGTCCAGGTGATCTTGTTTAAATAATGACATGTTTAGAGAAAATAGATTTTCATAGTGAGAACATAAAACTAGAGGAACTGCAAGGAGGCCTATTGGCTTATGTGAGGTGGTTCCTATTTCAATGCAGTCTGACTGATTCTTACATGTGTAACTTACAGATGAATTACTTTTAAGTGATAAGACATGTTTCATATTACCTGGTAAGTTGTTTCTGAAAGCTGTACCCCTATACCCAAAGCAGTCTTCACCAATGTCTTTGTTCCGAATCTAAACTTTTCCAATTTGTATGTGGTGTTTTGTGCTGAATGTTGTGTTACTGTAATTGTAGTGTACATATTTAGCACCATAGGAAGTAAGATGACCATTGTTATATCCTTGTATTAATGTGTATAGGGTGGGTTGGTGTAATTGATCTCATTTCAAACTCACAGTTTACCCCTGTGATTTGGGACCTGTAGATGAGACGGTTGGCTTCAAAGACCTAACTGGTTTCAGTAGCCTACTAGGCCTATGGTGTAAATCCCGGCATCAATTATGTTTTTAATGAACAAATCCACAAGGGCCATGACGAGGATTCGAACCTGCGTCCTGGAGCATCCCAGACACTGCCTTAGTCAACTGTACTACGACATTCTCCCGGACGCAGGTTCGAATCCTCGTCACGGCCCTTGTGGATTTGTTCATTTGATGCATCACGTTAGTGTGATCTCTGTGTGTTATGTTTTTAATAAGATTGCTTGCTTGTCTGCAGTTCCTCCCTTGCTATCATTAGTTGGCAATATGAATGCTGATGATAGTTTGAGTGTTTTAAGATAGCTTCTGTAGCCATTTGTGTGTTAATTTGAATAGGAAATTGTTTCTCTTCCATGATGGTGATTATTTTTTATATGCATGTATTTTCAATCAATGCTTCCATGACAAGATGAATTAGGCACATTGGAGATGCCTCCCTGAAGGTATCTCGGAGATGGCTCTCCCAACGGAGTTACTTAAGCCATGACCTTGTGTGGATGAATGTTCAGACATTAAGGAAAGCAGTGCAAACAACTGGAAGGTGCATCAACAAAGAAGCACAAAAACAGGCAAACAGCTATGCAAATACTCACTGAAAGGCAAATGATTCACATATAACTTGCTTGAATCCTCTAGAGGAAAATGGCAGGCAACAGGTGGCATCCTGGAGATCGAGGCTTCCATTTGGTTCCGTTTCAAATTTGGACCTGGTTGGGCTTGGTCCAGGAATCTCAATTGGCTTCCCTCTATCTTCATGCCTGCTTCACTTGGATGCTTGTCTGAAGTTGGTAGCAGAGTCCCCAGGTCACCCATCGTTTGCTAGAGGAGCTGTGCTCGAATCTGAACTTTGCCCGTGTGGTGTGTTCTCAGGGCAGGGGTTTAGGTGCTGGCATTGTACCTTTTACTTTGGTTGTATCCCTCTCATTGCTGTTTGTAGCCGTTCAGGCTTTTTAGGGTTCTGTCCCGAGACACCTTCCGCCACCCTATGCTTGACCTATTCATGGATGCTTTTGACTTAGATTGGGGGTTTGTGAACAGCACTCATCTGGCTGCTCAGATCCTTGGGTGGTCTGTGAGTTGGGTGCACAGCATAGTGCAGGAATTCATGGCAGCCTGGCATGCTCTGTGATTGCCTCATCTCCCAGTGGGCTCTGTGGTATGACTACTCAGACTGCCCTTGGTAGTGGTTAATTGTGTGATTCGTGGTGCATCGCTCAGATCTCTTGCCTTGTGGGGCTGGTCACTACAGGTAATGTATAATCTGGATACTTGGGATTTGGCTTGCAGTTCAGGGCATGCGGAACGTTTTAAATCGTTCTCTTGTCTTTACTCCATCACCAGATTGGACCATCAGTGTCGTGTCCTTCTGTTGGCTACAGTCTCCGTGGTGTAGTAGTAAGACACTCGCCTGGCGTTCCGTGAGCGCTATGTCATGGGTTCGTATCCTGGCCGGGGAGGATTTACTGGGCGCAATTCCTTAACTGTAGCCTCTGTTTAACGCAACAGTAAAATGTGTACTTGGATGAAAAAACGATTCTTCGCGGCAGGGGATCGTATTCCAGGGACCTGCCCGAAACGCTACGCGTACTAGTGGCTGTACAAGAATGTAACAACTCTTGTATATATCGAAGAAGACATTTGGCTACTCTGAGGTGGATCTCTGTGTTGGCATGGAACCAATGGCTTGTGGTTACATGGCTCCAGTCCCCCAATTGCAAGGCTCTCATGGTGAAAGTCATGGACTGGACTGGGAACGGTGAGGGTTTCTTTATCTTTCGTCTGGTTCGGCAATTGCTCCGGGTGCTGTGCAAACTAGAGACATTCTCCAGCAGGGTTTTCCTGTTGGCTCCCTTTTGGTTGGCCCATCTGTGGTTTTGAGCCATTTGTCTCCATTGTTGGAACCAGCATAGTTTTATGAGGCTCCTCCTCTTTCAGCAGATAGGCCTAGAGATGTTTCTCGATGGTTGAAGGCTCTCTTCCGCTCTAGACATTTAGTCCTTGACTCGTGTACCCCACACTTTAATGTGGTACAGGTGGGTGAACAAATTTCAGCCAGTCGGCAGGTGGGTGAGATTTTAGCGTCTCCCTTGAGTATTTTTTTCACTGCAATAGTATGAGGTTTCTTGGCACTCCTTCTGTGTTTCTCTCTCTCTCTGTCACTTGTCTTTGGTTTCTATATGTATAGGCCTATTGTTTTTGTTGTTTATGGATAGGCTTATGATGATGAAGTCTCTTCATTTTGTTTTGCCTTGGAGTGATTGCTATTGGCAATTGGTGTTGATGTTCTGTATTATCAGCCCCTTTACACAAGTTGTCTCTTTTGCATTTCATGTTTTTCTCGAGTTGATCTTTGGACATGGTTTTGTTGTTGTCTCCTTTTGATTGTTGTTTCTTCCAGACCTTGTTTTCTTCACTTGTGGTTGTCAAGTTGGGTGGGAAGCTTCATGCTCTCGTGTGGTAGGTTGAGTTTGACCCTTTTGGTCACGGTGTCATTTTCAATACTTACAGGCCTCTCCTTTGTTTCTGGCTAAGACTGAGACGGCTACTTCAAGGAACAGTTCTCTGATGACCGATACAAGTTGGATCAGCCAGGGGTGCATCATTTATTGTATCCTATTAGCTGTTACTTGTGTACCACTAGTGGTGTGCAGGGAGATGCTCTGTTTGTGGTGTTCCTGGTTTGTTGCATCAGGTACTGTTTGTGTGAGGTTGTCCACCGTGTTATCACGTTTAGCCAGTTTAAGTCTCCCCTTAGGCCCTTGATGTTCACAAGTTTGTGGCTGTGTCCATTTTGTTTTAAGGATGTATTTGGCCTCGGAGAATTTTGGTAGCGTAACAATGTGCTGACAGTTGCTTCATTAGTAAGTGTTCTATGTCCGCACAACATTTGTGTGAAATGAGGCTGTTAAGTCATTGCTTACAACCATTTTCTTCAATGTATCGTTGTTGGGCTTTCCTCTGCCCCTGGCGAGTACCCTTTCGATGTTTTTTCTCCATGATAGATACCAAGGAAAACTAGTGTTGAATGTACTGAAATGCCTCTTTTTGGTGGGTCTTTGGGTCAATCAAGTCCTTTACCATTGAGCGGTTTAATATTTTCTATCTTCCTGGCTATACGACTGAGGTTGAAGGCTAGGAAATTGAAGAGAATGGTGCATATTAACCTGGTGGTGTGGAGATGGGACAAATAAGAGAAGTGTATTATAACAGAGTGGTCCATTTATCTCGGGGGTTTGTTGGCTCATATTTTATGCTCGTTTACTCGGCGTTTGTATGTTTTGGTTTGTTCCCTTCTCTCGTGTGGCCTTTTCATAGTTGTGAGCAGCCGCGTCCAACAGCTTGGTTGATCAGTCCGGCCACCAGGAGGCCTGGTCGACGACCGAGCCGCGGGGACGCTAAGCCCCGGAAGCACCTCAAGGTAACCTCAAGGTAGGGTGACATTATTCTGGTGCTTGTGACTCTTCAGAAGGGGCATCAGGTTTTTGTAGTCAGGTCCCTGATAGACTTACAATAACTTTGCAAGGGCCTGGTGTGGATTGAAGTGAGTGGAGCTATGCAGGTAAATAACACCAAGGAGTCACCAGAAAGAGAGATTTCATTACATTTAAAAACTTTAAATATTTTTAAATTTAGAATAAAACATTTAAATGTGTCCTACTGTAATGTAGTAGATTACAGTAGGCCATTACCATACCACAATACTCTAGCAAGTTCTTACAGAGGTAATGAATAGTGTTGTTTATATAAGAATTAAATACTGAAAATAAAAAAAATCCTCAATTTTTTTTTAATTACAGTTGCATTACAACACAGTTGAGTTAGTAGATGGATATGTAGCTTAAAAATTGGCTATTTTTTTTATGCTTGATTAGGAGAGGAAGGCAAAGGTAGCATCCAGGCAGCATTTTGTTATAGAAATGAACATTTAAATGTGTGTTTGGGCTATTTTGAGCATTTTAGGTATTGGTGCCTCCATCTCCCCCTTTCCCACCTTCATAGCACTCTACCTCAGTCCTGTGGCGCACTTGTTTGCTCTGTGTTAGTCGTTCATAACCCAGTGTCTCAAACTTTTCAGGTGTTCATTAATGCCTTCTTTAAAGTTTGTTGGCCATTTTTGTGATATGATGCTCTTGATAGGAAGATGCATTAGTGTAATTGGTTTTATTAATAAATATCTTTAAAGTTGCAGTAGTTGGAGAAATTAATGTAGAGAAAAAAAAAAGAGTGGATGCTTATTTCTACACATTTTTATTGATGAAATGTTCCATTTTGTATGGAAGTGCTCACTCTATTATGGGAAATGTTTTGAAATCAGGCGACTTTAGAAGAATCTGAGATATGTAGGTACAATGTAGCTTAGCTACGTGTATAAAGCAGTAAATGTACTTCCTGCAGTTGTCTTGTTTAATCGTATCATACGGCTTCATTATTTTTTCATAGATGTATCACATACTTGCGACTTTGTGCTTAAAAAACTATGGTAGTTGTTGCTTGTTTCCAGTGTTTAGTTGTGGTTATTATTGTTTTGTACAAGACAGACAATGTGTTGAATGAAGTGCATTTGGTACAGTATTGCATGTTCTTGGTGCTAATCTAGGATTTCTTGTACATTGCTCTACCTCCTCTCTCTCTTAGTGATGATAAGCATGAGGGAAATGGTGAAATGAAGTCACAAAAGGACGATGGTACCAAACCGGAGAAGGAAGACTCTGAGGAGAAGATAAAGGATACAACAGAACCAACGGAAACCACACCTATGATTCAGGGGTAACAGTGCAGTCATAATTCCCTGTCAATGTGGTGGCTTCGTTATTGTTTTGTTTGGCACTGCACTGTCCTGTAACTTGTGTTGTGTATACTGCACTTCCTTCCTTCCTACCTGGAGCTTTCTTTGTGACATTTTGTTTGCACGCGTATTCTTGGTAGCAAGATTCTTTGCACGAATATTCAGCTGTTAGCGACCTTGTTTGCATGCGTATTGTACTGGTAGCAACATTCTTTGCACGAATATTCAACTATTAGTAACATTGTTTGCAGAAGCATTCTGTTACTAGTGATAGAAATAAGTAAATGTGAACCACATTTGGAAACATAAAATTTGAAATAATGTAGTCTTTGAAGAATTTGTTCTTAAATTGGTTCTAATTGTTATCTTTGAATCATGAAATGTTAATGGCTTGGCATTTTCTCAGGCTAGTGCATGCACACATCTTTAGTAATTAGATGCTGAAGACTCGGAGATGTGAATGGAGAAGGCTCATGCACACATCTGAATGCACATGGCTCTTACCTGAATACACATGGTTTATGCTCACACCTGAAAACACACGGCTCGTGTACACATGTCTTGTGCATGAGTGTTGCTTTGCTCTTGCAAAATTATATGTTTTGGGTTTATAAGCACCCTTTTTGTGTGTGTGTGTATATTGCAAGAAAGCCATTCTAATCTAAATACTAATATTTGTTATTGGCCAATAAAAAAGATGCCAATTGTTTGAAGGATTATACAAAACTAATCGAATATTTTGATTTGTTTGCATATGTGATAAATAAATGTTTGTATCATTTGAACTCTTGGTATTAAACAAATATATAATAATGTTTATTTGACATTTAATGGATCAACTGGATTTAAAATGGGAGGTAGATGTATTTTATGTACACTATCAGAAGAGGTGAATGACGTGGCAAATAGCTCAATGTAGCTTGTAAACCACATCCAGCTTACAAGTACAGTACCGGTACTTGTAAGAAGTACAGTAATATGATGTTTTGAAGTGTGTTAATGAACATTTTGTGTGCATAACTTGTAAATGATTACGTGTGTGTGGTTTTATGTGAATGTGAGTGGTTGTCAGTGGGAAGAAAGATATTTTGTTATAGTCTTCTTATCGCTGTCTTGCTATATACTTAAGTTGTATATTGGAATAACAGTTACTTTAAAGTCCAGCAGTCATTTATATGACTAATATATTGTCTGGGAAGTGAATATAGCTTACTATTTCTCCAGTAGGGTGTACTATTCTACACTTCCCCTATGTTTCATAAGATTCTTTGGTACTGTGTGCTCAAGTCCTCTGGGAATGTTGGAATAATTATCTTTTTTATACATGTAGATGGAAATAGTAGAAAGTTTAGACAACATTGGTATAGTTTGTTTCATACTAGTACTGTATTTATTATAGTGATATTTGGTTCGAGATGATGATGTAGGTTAGTGTGGGTGGTGCACTTGATCATGTTAAAAATATTTATGGTTTTAGATGGATATGAATGGTGTAATGAGTGGATAATATTCAAAGGGTGTGAGGGTATTGTGTGTGTGTGTGCGCGTGAATTCGGAAGAGGGGTACTTGACTTCTCCCTTGTAACCAACTTCTCCCACTCTGCTAAATGTTTGACTAGGAGTTAAAAAAAAAAGTGCTTTGAATGCTTTAGCATTTAAGATGATGCATATGTTTATTATTCTAATAAAGAATTGTTAAATTATTGGTTGGTAATGTTGACATTAATCAACATCTTTCTGTCTTTCTGAGTAAACAGTCAAAGTGGAAGAAATCAAACTTGTATGAAGTGAGTATGAAGAGCTTCCTTAAGTGACACTTAAGGAAGCTCGTGTACCTTGATCTTTGCTAGAGAATCTCACACGAATCCCACTTGGGGCGTCTGGCCGTGGCGTAGTGCGTTTAGCACTTTGAATCATCAAAATGATCTTTGTGTATGTATTTGTATTTCCTATGAGAAGAATACTGAATACCCATTGATTAAGATATACTGTACCTGGAGTACCTAGAGAGGATTTTGGAGCTGTACTCCTCAAGCTTGGCTTGGGACAAGGCTTTAGAGTAGAGCTCTCAGAAATGTTCTTGTGGTATATTTGAATAAACGTAAATAAAATAAATAATTGTCTTTCAGTATATTTTGAAAACTGTGCGTTGATTGTACAGTACTGTATGTCCAAGCTCATAGAAACATTGTGGTTTATAGGCATTGTAATAATTATATGTGACACTCCTTTCCTTGTGGGATCTTGGCATTTTTTAGGGAAAAATCTCATGTCAGTTTCTTCTGGAACCAGGTTAGAGATATTATTGAGGTATTGAGCACTTAAGATTTGAAAGAAGCTGTAGAGACATTGGCAAAGAATTATATTGTTTTTCATGTTATTTAAATGAAATAATTAGTAGTGAATATTGTAAATCTATGTAGTATACATACATGAGAAAAAAGGGACAGAATTTGGGGGAAAAAAACAGAACTCGTGTTAATGTAACGGTAATATGCAGAGGAGAAACTAGACGAGTCAGTCAAGCTATGTAATCCAGTGCAGTCGTGGTGTGACTGTAAAAAACGAAACGTCAGTGGGGCATCATAGGTAAAGTAATTATAAGCCAAGAAGTGTGTGTACATCTCCTGATAATGTGCTGGTGCTTTATTACTGTATGTATAAATATGTATATGTTGTACTTGTATCATGTGGCTTTTAAAGTTGTGTAATTGATTTTTGTTGGATATAGACTGATGTGATGAAGGGTTAATGTGGTATACATTAGTTGTGTTTACTGTGGTATAGTTTACTGTGGTATACATTAGTTGTGTATACATTAGGTATACATAAGTGTGTGGGTGTAATTTTGTATTGTATCTATGATTGTGGGTGAATAGACGACTAGTTTCTAGTGAAAATAAATGTGTGTAATATAATAGTGTATATGTAATTTATCAATGTTTTAATAATTATAAGTTTTGTTAGTTGTTAGGAGTAAAAAATTGAATTACAATGTTATACTTTTTTGAATACTTTAGTTCATAATATTTTTTATATGTACAGTATAAGATATTTTACTATACAAAAATGCAAGTAAATGCAAACATGTGGATATAGGAGAACACACATGAATGACATGAATGTACGAAACACACGCTAATATATATGATAACGTATGTGTGACAGACATGATTACGACGAATAACATTTTCAGGGGAACAGACAGGACGAGTTTATTTAGCATGGGATGGTGCAGAGACGAGTAAACGGAAACTAAGCACCAAAGTGTGGTATAGAAACATTAGGAGTAATTGTTTAACTGGTAGAATAGTGAACAATATAAAGTAAATTTGTATAGGTAGACTTGATACATGGCTTTAAATGTAGATATGACAGAGTACAAAAGGCTTGGGCATGTATACACCAGTTGATTGAAGGTTAAAAGGTGTAATGCGGTTTAAAGGGGTTAAGGTAACCTTAATTAAAGGGGATAAGGTAAACCTGTTGATGCAGACCTTTGTGAGTACAAGTAGTTAAGTATAATTAGTTTATTACACATAATTATGCACACTCATGCATAAGCATGAATGAAAATTATGCAAACCCATAGGTGCACACCTACTCCTGTGATCATAGATTATGTATAATACTGGTACTGTATATGTATGTTTGCAAATACTTAATTGTGCAAATACAAATAGTTAGAAAATAGGATGTAGATGTTTGTTTGCATAGTAAGAAGAATGCACACTCACACAAGAAGTTAAATAAATAAATAAATAAATGTTTATTCAGGTAAGGTACATACATACAAGAGATTTTACAAAAATTGATAGATTTATAGATAGAGCTAGTACATACAATGCCTAAAGCCACTATTACGCAAAGCGTTTTGGGCAGGAAAAACATTAAAGAATAAAACTTAATACTAAGATGTATATTGTATAAGTTGTATATGATACAGTATATTGAGATAATGTAGTGGCTGCACATAACAGAGCTGGCAGCCAAAGAAGTTGCTTTGTTTCAAGGAATATGCTTACCAGAGCCTGTACCCTACCCAGCACATGGGAAGAGGAATGAAGCGGGTTCTGGAAAATATATACGTTCATAGGTTGGAAAAGACACACACACACGCACACACACAAGAGTAAGGGAAGACATGATAACCACCTACAAAATTCTGAGGGGGAATTGACAGGGTGGACAAAGACAAACTCTTTAGCGTGGGTGGAACACGAACAAGGGAACACAGGTGGAAACTTAGTACCCAGATGAGCCACAGAGACGTTAGAAAGAATTTTTTTCAGTGTCAGGGTTAACAAATGGAATGCATTAAGTAGTGTTGTGGTGGAGGCTGACTCCATACACAGTTTCAAATGTAGATATGATAGAGCCCAATAGGCTCAGGAATCTGTACACCAGTTGATTAACAGTTGAGAGGCGGGACCAAAGAGCCAAAGCTCAACCCCCACAAACACAACTAGGTGAGTACTAGGTGAGTACATTCTCCAGAGGAAAGCAAGAGCCAATCACCCCAGTTGGGCTTTGGGCCTTCGCAGGGAAATAAGATTGGTTAAAGAAAGTGAGGATTCAAATTTCCTGTTCTTCACAATCACAATCGGCGATAGGAGTGTTGGTCATATTCAAACCGAACAAAAATGAAGAAATGAGGAGCACTCTTTAGGTCATGGTGGTAAAAGTTGTAAGTAGACTGAATGGACATAACTACAACACACCCGTATTAGCCAAGAAGTGTGGTCTCGAACACAGATGGTTTCAGTACCAGAGGATGCAGCAAATGGTGTAAAAATATTAAATGTAAGGAAAGCAGTATATAGCAGACGTAATTTCACCATGGATATTAAGAGAACAGCTGAAGTACAGTGTGATGTGTTTGTGTTGTTAGTAAATGAGGAACCTGTGGAAAACTAGGAACATGGTAGTTGTAGTCAAGAAATGAGGGCTTAGATTTTAGAGATGTCAGTGACATACATTGTAAGTCAAATATTGAATAAAGTAATTGGAAAGATGATAGATGAATATCTGGAGAAGAATAAGTTTGTAATAGAGAGAGCATGATATTACAAAAGGCATGCATTATGAAGTTGATAGTTGTATGAGAAGGCTGGCAATATACAGCAGATGAATGAACATATGTCATATTCCTAAATTGCCTTGGGCACTGTTGATCACAAGTTGGAAGGAACGGAAGGATGCTCGATTTATTTCAGATCAGGATTGTAGAAAGGGGAAACGAGGGTTTGATTGTTGGACCAGTAATGTTCCTGATGTTGTTAAAATTGATGTTTTGGAGGAGGTTGGTAGGACTGTTGATATCAGTGATGCTAAATAAATAAGAAGGGGAAGGACAAAGAGGAGTGCTTAATATTACAGTACAGTGTATACAGCATATATATTCACACAAACTGCAGTGTTACATAACCTTCCAGGTTTGGTGCCTTCTTTTGATAATTATTTTGTTCTCGTATTGGCATCCTTGGTGATATTTAGCGCCCTCTGATTATTTTGCGCATTTGATGGTGCTACATAGCCTTCCCGGTTTGGGGCCTTCTTTTGATAATTACTTACTTACTTGATAACTACTTACAAACTGCAGTGTCTCATGACAAAGTCTGAAGCAATAGGAAAAGTAAGAAAAGGAGATTGTCCACAGCTGAAACACTAATGAAAGCAGAAGATAGGTGTGGATATGTTTGTTGACAGTATGGATGTTCATAAGGGAGCACGATATTTCTGCATAGCGAAACAGTACCTTTTAAGGGCATGAATCAGTTAAGAGTTGTTTGAATATCGGCCATTGTGAAGTAGATATGAGTAATGTGAGGTGGGCAGAGAAAGAATAGGCTATTGACATGTAAATGCTACTGCTGGCATGTGATGGTTACTTGTTTATTGGGGGCAAGTAGAGTATGCCTTAGCATTGGTTTCTAATGCCAAGTAGTACCTAAAGGGCCTTGTAAATGTACAATAGTTAAATGAGGCTTTTGAAGGACATTTATAGGTGATTGAGTATTGTCCAGGGACTCCCATGAATGAATATGAATAGTGGCTGTTGTGGAATGTCGAACATCATAGATGTGTTGGCCGAGGGAAGGGGAGAACATTGCCTAAGAGAACAACTTTAGTATTTTGTTCAGAAAGAGACCTTTCTTATAAATTACACTTGAGCTTTGTATTTAATTTTGCATTTTTGTATAGAAATGTCATAGCTGTGATGCTTCGAGATTGTTTTATCTTAATGTCAAACTATTGGAATATGTTTTATTAAAGAAGAAATTGTATTAGAATAACAACTGAGTAGGGCTAAAGACATAAATTAATGAATGAAGATGAATTAACTAATTGTATATGCATTATTGTTAAATACTAAGAAATATATATTTGTTTGTATTTTGGTTGGTAAATTTCAGACTAGTTGTGAACGACAAAAATCAAGGTGTTGTAATCGGTCCCAAAAATGTAGAGAGACAACAAGAGCAAAGAGTGACAAAGGAGGAAATACAGTTACTGGATAGTTGGAACTCAAATAATCAGACTTGTCAACCCCAGATTGTGAAATCAATTATGAGGAGAAGGGCAACTGATGATGAATTAAATGGGCGGGCACAAAGTATGGCTTGTGAGAATACATTTGGTTTAAAGAAAAGTAGTAAAAGCACTCCCATTCTAGATAGCGCCATGTCTGAGGAGTCTCTCTATGCTGTCCCATTATTAAGTGAAGATATGCATGGGGAACAAACAAACTTAAAACATACTTTTCGAGATGGCAAAAATAAGGTGCCGCCGCCACCACCCCCCAGAAGAAATGTTTACTCTTCTCTGACAAATGTTCAGAGGTCAAAAAGTCAAGAGATGCTTTTTGACAACTACAATCAAATTCCACAAATGATGTATTACGAAGAGAGACAAGTTAATAGAAAACCTGAAAGTCAATACATGTCAGCAAGCAGAGAAAGGGTTTATGGGGAAGCAGTGAATGAGGGTTCAGAAGGTTCATATAACATGTTGAGAAACAAAGAACCACTTTATCAAGAAGCAGAAAGTCCTTATTATATAACAGTAGGAGATGAATGGAGTCGGGGGTCAGAACGCAATATGTCCGGAAGCAGAGGGACAGGTAATTTGCAGGCTGAAAATATTATAAATAATCCATATTATATGAGAACAAGTAAAGAAGAGGTGAACAGGTTGCCAACAAATTTGTACGACATGTCATCAAGCTTACAAGGCCTAAATGAACAAATGAAACTGGGAAGCAGAGTACAGAATGAGAGTGGCAAGAATCCTTGTATATTTGCTAGTAAGGCATGTAGGTCACCAAGTGAAAGCTCATCAAGCACTTTATATCAACCCCTGAATACTTTAGAAAACAAAACAAAAACCCAGGTTGCCTATGAAATTGCACCTTATGATGCTGCACTTAATATGAACTCTAGGAGGAAACACCCAGAGAAAATGAGTTTTGGTGAAGATAACACGGTCCAAGTCCCACCATGTATTGAAATTCCAAGCATCCCTCCAGAAGTGGTCATTAGTAGTAGATATCCTTCAAAGAGACCTGGAGTTCCACCACCCAATATACCTGTAAAACCGTATAGTATACCATCTGTTCCACTATTAAAGGGTAAAGAATTATCATCAGCATTACAAGACGTAAACGAACAGAAAATAGGATTGAAGACGGCAACGCATGGTTACTCGCATGAAATCTCAAAACCTCTAAGTCACAGTATGGATAAACTAGATGGGGAATACAATACTTCAGGAAGTGTACCAAATTATGTTTTCAATGCAACGTCATTAAGTTCAGCCAAGTCCCTTGGAAGCCTATTGGAATCAACCAGAGGTCAACGGTCGTATGGTCAACCTACTTTCCTCTAACCCTGTGCATGCCATATAATAGGATTAGAATGGCTTCCACTTAGTGCTGGTAAAGGATCATGTGTTTTGTTGTATTCTAAGTAAATGGTATAAAACAGGTCTTAAATGAAAAAAGTGGACATTTTAATATACAATAATGGTTATGTATACAGTGCTGTAATGTTACATACAGTTAAAAGTACAGTGAATATAAATAATGTGACATTAATTTTGTTAAGGTAACCAATTAGGAATTGTCTTGTATATAGTTTATGCAGGAATGTTATAAGAAAATAATGAATATTTTTTTTTTTTTTTTGTTTTGTTTCAGTGAGGTGGATGATAAGGAAGCCATCTTGAAAGAGGAGCAAAAGGGCGAAAATGTGAAGAAAAGCGAGTCCAAGAACAGTGTGACGAAGGACTCTCCGGTGTAGGCACCACACGATACTAGTGTAATTGAAATATTAAATACACAGGCTACAAGGCCATGTTGGCTTTGCTTGTGGAATGAGATTAGAATTCCTGTAGAAAATATTACATTAATGAGACATCATGTGCAGTAATGGAATGAATTATAGCCATCATTATACGAATATGTAGGTTTTGCCAAAGAACATGCGAGAGGAGGAACTATTTTGTATCTGTGTTTTTTCATTAATAGAGTAATGTAACTTTTCAGAATGGACGTACTTACAATACAGTATATACATCTTGTTAGTCATAATGAAGCATTTAGTATTCACACCAGTGAGGTGTATGCTAAATATATGGTCGAGTGTAAACTTCCTGTCTAAGATGTGTAAAAAATATAATTGCATGTTCCAGTGTATAGTGGAGAATGACAGGTGGTGATTCTCACATGGTTTATTGCTTTAACACAGTCATGTACAACTGGAGGGGTGAATGCAACCATTCATGTATAACTTCCGTATTTATAGACAGAAATGTGGCAAATAAACGACGATGTACTTTCAGTCTCAGTCCGATGTTTCAGTCCGTCCTGGACCATGATGAAGTTAATTAATGGTCCAGGGGGAGCGAAAAGTTGGCCTCATCTGGTGGTGTGGTTTTGTCTTCTTTATATAACTCCGTTATGTGGAATAAAGAGAGACTGCTGAACGTGTCTTCATTTGAACTCTTGCTCTATGATGAAGGGAACTGAATCAACGTGCATGCAGCTTTTGTTATGCATATATCTCAATAATATTGATTGAGATATATAACAAAATATACCTAAAAAATGGAAATGTTTTATATATTTCTATAAGAGATATTATATATAATATTGAGTTGTATATACATATAGAAATCAATAAATTTACATATTATATCAATATTAATTTCTATATATAGAATTCTTTTATATTAGTATTGATTTCTTTTATATTAATATAATAGAATTCTATTATATTAGTATTGATTTCTATATTATATATATGTATATAGAATTCTATTATATTAATATTGATTTCTATATTATATATATATAGAAATTATTATATTAATATAGAATTCTATATTATATATATAGAATTCTATTAATATAATTAATATTATATTAGTATTGATTTCTAATATATTAATATAATAGAATTCTATTATTAGTATTGATTTCTATATTGTATGTATAAAATAATTTTATATTAGTATTGATTTATATTAATATAATAGAATTCTATATACATATAATATAGAAATTGTGGAACCAATTACTGCATAACGTGGTGGAGGTAGGGTCCCTTGATTGTTTCAAGCGTGGGTTGGACATGTATATGAGTGGGATTGGGTGGTTATAGATAGGAGCTGCCTCGTATGGACCAATAGGCCTTCTGCAGTTACCTTTGTTCTTATGTAAATCAATACTAATATAAAAATTCTATATATATAATATAGAAATCAATACTAATAGAAATTTATATATATAATATAGAAATCAATACTAATATAATAAAATTCTATTTATATATAGAATTCTATTATATTAATATAATAGAATTTTATTATATTAGTATTGATTTCTATATTATATAGAAATCTATTGTATTAGTATTGGTTTCTATATTATATATATAGAATTCTACTATATTAGTATTCATTTAATATAATCAATATTAGTATATATATATATATATATATATATATATATATATATATATATATATATATATATATATATATATATATATATATAAATGAAATATAGAAATCTATATATATTTCTATATAGAATATAGAAATTATATATATATATATATATATATATATATATATATATATATATATATATATATATATATATATATATATATATAGAAATCAATACTAATAAAATTCTATTATATTAGCACTATCGCTCTCTGGACACCGCTCGCGTTCACTTTTTTTTCTCTTGAGTCCTAGCCTTGGACTGCGCTCGCGTCCAATACAAAAATATTTGTATAAATCAAATTTTTTATCAGTGACTTTGGGATAGTTTCAAAATGCGCGCCTTGAAATTCCCGTTCTCCTTTGTAGGCCTCTCGGCCACGTGGGCCATCGACCTCGTGTTGTTGTTGACATCCCTAGTGACCGGTCCGCTCACTCCTCGCGTCCATAACTTGCGCGGTTTTGTGTATTTATATCTCTTCCCGTGTGTTTTGTGCACAATAACGTGGCTGAAGCATGTTGACCAATCCACACACTAGAAAATGAAGGGACGACAACGTTTCGGTCCGTCCTGGACCATTCTCAAGACAATCGACTTGAGAATGGTCCAGGACGGACCGAAACGTTGTCGTCGTCCCTTCACCTTCTAGTGTGTGGTCTGGTCAACATGCGTTTCTGCAGTTTGAAGAGATGGCAATGTGGTCAGTATTGAAGTGAGACGCTGAGGAGTGGCCTCTCACAAGACACCATGCCATGCTCCAGGCATAAATGATGACGTCAGTACTGCTGACGCTTCAATGATGACGCCAGTACTGCTGACGCTTCAATGATGGCGCCAGTACTGCTGACGCTTCAATGATGACGCTTCAATGATGACGCCAGTACTGCTGACGCTTCAATGATGACGCCAGTACTGCTGACGCTTCAATGATGACGCCAGTACTGCTGACGCTTCAATGATGACGCCAGCACTGCTAACGCTTCAATGATGACGCCAGTACTGCTGACGCTTCAATGATGACGCCAGTACTGCTGACGCTTTAATGATGACGCCAGTACTGCTGACGCTTCAATGATGACGCCAGTACTGCTGACGCTTCAATGATGACGCCAGTACTGCTGACGCTTCAATGATGACGCCAGTACTGCTGACGCTTTAATGATGACGCCAGTACTGCTGACGCTTTAATGATGACGCCAGTACTGCTGACGCTTTAATGATGACGCCAGTACTGCTGACGCTTCAATGATGACGCCAGTACTGCTGACGCTTTAATGATGACGCCAGTACTGCTGACGCTTTAATGATGACGCCAGTACTGCTGACGCTTCAATGATGACGCCAGTACTGCTGACGCTTTAATGATGACGCCAGTACTGCTGACGCTTCAATGATGACGCCAGTACTGCTGACGCTTCAATGATGACGCCAGTACTGCTGACGCTTTAATGACGACGCCAGTACTGCTGACGCTTCAATGATGACGCCAGTACTGCTGACGCTTCAATGATGACGCCAGTACTGCTGACGCTTCAATGATAACGCCAGTACTGCTGAAGCTTCAATGATGACGCCAGTACTGCTGAAGCTTCAATGATGACGCCAGTACTGCTGACGCTTCAATGATGACGCCAGTACGTTGACCAGACCACACACTAGAAATTGAAGGGACGACGACGTTTCGGTCCGTCCTGGACCATTCTCAAGTCGATTGTGATGAGGAGGTCGGGACAGGCAATAAATAGGCAAGAGAGAGCTGAGGTGAAAGTCAGGTATTGGTAAAAGTCAAACTTTTACCAATACCTTTCGTCCTCTTGACATTAAACTCGCCTTTCGACAAACTAACACACTTCGTAGCAATCTAGTTCACACTGCTCCTCCTGCTTCTAATGCTGCTGGTGTCTACTCTATTTCCTGTTCATCTTGTCCTCTCCAATACTTTGGCGAAACTGGCCGTACACTGAATGACAGACTTAAAGAACACAAGAGAAGTGTTAAGTCTGCAGACACTAACAATGCTCTCTTCTGCCATGTGAGGGATTCTAATCATCCCATTGATTGGTCTTCCTCCAAAATAATCTTTCCTGCCTCTACTCTACACAGACGCCATCTTGTAGAATCGGCTCTTATAAACAATGTACCCAACATGAACTTAAGTCCTGGCTTTGTTGCTGTGGACTCTTCCCTTTCACAGTATATACTCAAATGCTCTAATCTTTCTAACAAACGTGACTTAACATAAGCTTTCCCCCTTCCATTTCTTTCTTTCTCTTTCCTTTTCTTTCTCTCTTCTCCCTTTTTCTGTTCATTGTCTTCTCCTACGCTCCCTTGAAATCCTCTTCTTTTTCCTATTACTTCTCCTTCGGTGGTTATAATAGGAGCTGCCTCGTATGGGCCAATAGGCCTGCTGCAGTTTCCATTACTACTATCCCCTACACCTGACTTTCCTCCTCAGCTCTCTCTTGCCTATTTATTGCCTGTCCCTACCTGTCCTCATCACAATCGACTTGAGAATGGTCCAGGACGGACCGAAACGTCGTCGTTCCTTCAATTTCTAGTGTGTGGTCTGGTCAACATACTTCAGCCACGTTATTGTGACTCATCGCCTGCATGACGCCAGTACTGCTGACGCTTCAATGATGACGCCAGTACTGCTGACGCTTCAATGACGACGCCAGTACTGCTGACGCTTCAATGATAACGCCAGTACTGCTGAAGCTTCAATGATGACGCTTCAATGATGACGCCAGTACTGCTGACGCTTCAATGATGACGCCAGTACTGCTGACGCTTCAATGACGACGCCAGTACTGCTGACGCTTCAATGTTGACGCCAGTACTGCTGACGGTATAATGATGACGCCAGTACTGCTGACACTTCAATGATGACGCCAGTACTGCTGACGCTGCCAATCTGTCAACCCCCGGGGACCATCTGGTGTGAGGCGGCCTTTATTCCCGTCAACACCACACGGCGAAGGCTGACATCTGACTCTCAACTCAAGACGGGTGTAACAGGTAATTTAGACCCAAATCCTTCATATTCAATACGTATCAATAAAGAATACGTATTCTTCAGTATGGTCTAATATTCTGATTTCCTCTTAGAGCGTTTTATTGCGAGAAATTTAATACCTAAATGATATAGGGCTTCTATATCATTTCTATCATATGTGTTTCTATATATAGAAATACTTATCAATGAAGAATACGTATTCTTCAATATGGGCTAATATTCTGATTTCCTCTTAGAGCGTTTTATTGCGAGAAATTTGCTACCTAAATGAACGATGTAGAACAAAAAATAGCGTTATAAAACGATAATCTTTGGGTTTATCGGCTGTAAAGGGTGTATGAATGGGTGGACTCAGTGGGTAACGCTTTGGCAACTTTGGGCGTGGTTGCGGGTGGGACGCGCACATGTTTTGAACTTGATATGCATATGTCCGTGTAGGGAATTTTATTGCGAGCACAGTGATACCAAAATGAACGTGGTAGAACATGTTTTGACTTAACAATCATGAAAACAGCAGCACCATATCCGCACTTGTTAGGCGCTCACGGCTAACGAGCGACCTAGTTTTTCATTTGGTACTGGTCTCACGCATGCTTTAGTGACATTTTATATCCATGTTCCTCTAGAACATTCTATTGCGAACACATTGATACCAAAATGAAACACGTACATCGAAAATTAAGGTCAGAACACTGAAAAAAAAAAGAGTATACACTTATTAGTATTGGTGTAGCCCCTGTGCCATTGACCTTGTGGTAACAGGTAACACTTCCCAAACTTCCCACGTTATATCGGGTGGGGCGCGACCACGATTTGGACTTGATATGCATATGCCCGTGTAGGGAATTTTATTGCGATCACAGTGATACAAAAATGGACGACGTAGGACAAGTGTGGAGGTGATAAACCTGAAAAGAGTAAAAACATTTCATCGCTGTTTGGCGCTCACGGCTAACGACCGACCTAGGTTTTTTTTATTTCGTGCCGGTCTCACGCATGCTTTAGTGACATTTTATACATATGTTCCTCTAGAACATTCTATTGAGAACACATTGATACCAAAATGAAAGACGTACATCGAAAAATAAGGTCAGGACTCTGAAAAGAGTATACACTTTTCAGTGTTGCCCCTCGATCCGCCCGACACTGGGCGCGCAAGAGGAAAGTACAATGCCCTGCCTGTCGGGGGCGAGTGTGTTAGTATTTAGAATTCTGTATATATAATATAGAAATCAATACTAATATAATAAAATTCTATTTATATATATAGAATTCTATTATATATATATATATATAATATATAATATAGAAATCATTATATATATAGAATGTTATTAGTATTGATTTCTTATAGAATTTATTAATATAGATGTCTTTTATATTAATATTGATTTCTATATTATTTAGAAATCTATTATATTAGTATTGATTTATATTAATATAATAGAATTTTATTATATTAGTATTGATTTCTATATAATATAGAAATCTATTATTAGTATTGATTTCTATATAATATAGACTTCAATTATATTAGTATTGATTTTTTATAGAATTCTATTATATTAATATAGATTTCTTTGACATTAACATTGATTTCTATTATATATATATATATATATATATATATATATATATTGATTTCTATATTATATATAATATATATGTACTAATATATTAGATAATAGAATTCCATATATAGAAATTATATATATAGAATGCTATTATATTAATATAGATTTCTATATTATTTATTAATCTATTATATTAGTATTGATTTATATTAATATAATAGAATTCTATATATATAATATAGAAATCAATACTAATCTAATAAAATTCTATTATAATAATATAATAGAATTTTATTATTAGTATTGATTTCTATATTATATAGAAATCTATTATATTAGTATTCATTTCTATATTATATAGAAATCTATTAGTATTGATTTCTATATATTTTTTATTTTTTTTATTTTTTTATTTTTTTTTTTAGAAAAAGAAAGATAGAAATAGATAGAAATCTATATAATATAGATTTCTATTATATTAGTATTGATTTCTATATATATAGAATTCTATTATATTAATATTGATTTCTATATTATATAGGAATCTATTATATTATTGATTTCTATATTATATATACATATATAGACTTCTATTATATTAGTATTGAATTCTTTATTATATAACGTGATTTTCTATATAATTCCAATTTATACATAATACAAGCATCTATACATTGTTATATAGAACACATTTCGTTTATAGAAATAATATTGTCTTATATTTCATTTCTCGATCATACCATGATATAGATGTTTCTATAATATTGCATTGGGGCTTATTTGAGGCATGTCGGCATCAATTATTAATGCGGCCTTTTAAACATGCCATTCCAGTGGTATTAATGTCATATCTAACATCAATGAACATTGTAGGTTAGAACAAATGGGGTAAATATATCATATTTAATACATGCCACAGTCAACCTTAAAACAATTAGCTCAAACTGCATTGGTACCAACATGCACACAATAGTCACACGCCAAAATAACTTGATAATGGTCCAGGCATCAGTAATGCCTCTAAAATATGTTCATTTTTTAGTCCTATGAAACACCATCCAATACACACACAGAGATCACACTAACGTGATGCATCAAATGAACAAATCCACAGGGGCCGTGACGAGGATTCGAACCTGCGTCCGGGAGCATCCCAGACACTGCCTGAGCACTGTCGTAGCTCAGTCGATTAAGGCAGTGTCTGGGATGCTCCCGGACGCAGGTTCGAATCCTCGTCATGGCCCTTGTGGATTTGACCATCCAATACAATTCTAAACCATATTCAAGCTCTTTCGAATCAAGTCGAACTTGTCTATTTGAACACCTTTAAAATCCCTCAATTCGGTAATCTATAACACACATACTGTGCTATTGCAATCAACTGCTGACGAACTTTTATATCTACTATAACTAAAAGTGCTTACATGGATACAGACGTGTGTAGGACCTACAAAACACACCGCAATTACGGTTTTACCTGGTCTACTGTAAACATACACGATAATACAGTACTACTATATATTACAGACACCAAAATGGTTCAGTCCTCAATTGAACATATTTTTTACAATTCCATTGTGCAGTATGCGTGAAAGGTTTCTCTCCCTCTATTTGTTGTGCAAATCATAGCCTTATGTACAAGGTACTTTATTCTACATCAACTGTACGAGTCATTAATATCAACTCACTAGTAGTCTAATATTTCTTTTCAAACCCATGATTACAACTACCACTTGTTACCTTATTGAAAATGCTACCGCTTAATTATATAATGTTAAATTCCATAGTATAATGAAGCGTTATTCATATTCATTAATATGGCATTGTTTTAAGCAAACCATTAACTATCTTTCAATTATGGAACATTCTATTTATTGACTAAATCATTACACTACCATAAGTAACCATTTACACTTTCCAGTCTATATGCTACACTATTTCTTCATACACATTTATCGATTATCTTTCACTATTATTTAACCAAACTGTACAACTCATGAATGACATTTGTGTATAATGTGACTCACATGTATAGTGGGTCAAGAGGATCAACACAGAACATAAACATGATAACCACCTGTGATGCTTGTAAGACAGACATGTATTACAAAACAAACTTATCTGGACCAAACCAATGTTATGGTTCACTAAACCAATCTCCTCATCTTCCTCTACAACTCGCCTAGAGTTTCTTGCATCAAATGTGACAAACGAGTAACAAATTCTGAAATGGCACTGTGCTTCAATAATATATATCAAATGAAACCTAATGTAGACTTTCTGGTAGCACTGTACACTACATAAAAAGGTTCAAATTTAATTATCTCCTTTTTTTTTTTTTAACATCCTCACTAAAACAATATTTCAATCAATACATTCATTAACTAATGCTCAAGTGCCATCAATGAATTTCCTGTATGGCTTGCAAAATTTTTTTTGCACATGACCTTTTTGGCAAAGGTCTATTGTGAACCACATGGTTCAGAGGAGGACGGACACACATGTACCATCAAACATGCCTCTTGCTTCCTAAAACGTTGTATATATATTTGGATCTGATCGTAATTTACTAACTGGAGGCTGTGCTACATATATTCCATATTTAGTGCTTTAACACAAATACATGATTTTACACCATTTCCTACAATATCCTGACGTACACACCAACTGCAACATTATATTTATTGGTTTTATAACCTCTCTCATAAAGTGACTAATTTATTTTTGCCTTTATTTACCATATACTTTCAGAACATTATCTGTTCATTTGACATGTAATTTACTAATAGCTTCTTTTGTAAGAAACAATTTCATTATAGACACCCAGTATGGTAGCATTAAGATAAACTTGCAGTATTGGTCATTGTGTCCGTCCCCGGCTCGTCTCTTATTGTAAGGTCTGTTTCTTTTTTTATATCGTGATTATGTATGACTAAGCTTGTCTGTACTCCAGTGTGGTATAAATAAAATGTCTGCCATTACATTTGTAATTCATTCTCCATAAATATTACAGCTTCATACACTAAAATCCATTCTTGCCTATTCACAATGCTGCACAGCTAAAAATACACACACAGTGAATAAAGTATATACAACTCACCAAAGAAACTGTCATCAGCACTATATGCTACACACAAATACGGGCATTACACATTATTTCTGTACTAATCTTGCCAAACCATCTTATTTACTCCAAATTCTGTGACTATATTCAACACTTGACATACTTCATGATATTGTCTTATATGAAACCTACACCTCACGTTAATCCAGTCCAATGCTCACTCACAGCCCAAAGTCTCTTGGCTGCAACTTTATCCTGTGCACCCTCTGATACTTTGCCTTCAACTTGGTTACTGTAAAGGAAACAACATTTACTATTATAAACAACTTAATAGCAATATTCAGTTCCCTATAATCCACCATGCACCCCCCACTAATGTGTGTGTGCTCTTTTTAACATTTCCCACCTCAATTTTCGTGCTACCTCATTCCTTTTGGTATCAAAATGTTTGCAATATAAAGGCGCGCATTTTAAAATTAGTCCTATAATCATTGGACAAATAATTAATGGTTTTTAACATATTTTATTTTATAACTATCTGTCCATGATTTCCCAACCCCCAAGTGTTAATATTACCACAGTTTAAGCACTTTGCAAACTTAACTATTATGTATTCATCAAAATATCAACAATACAGCCATCAGCACCATGCTATACTGCTAAACAATGTCATTACTTCTAATACTTATTACTGTACTTTTTAAAACACTACTTTCTTTTATCTACTATGAAATAGTCTGTGCAGTATAGACTTCCCCCATGTGATGAACAAGGCTAAAACATGCCACTGATACAATGACAACATTTCATATACATACAGTACCTATAACCTTCAATTTGTTACTTTTATTTGACATACAGTACTAATAAAAAACTCTTTCATTAACGTATAGCTATACATATATGCTGTCATATACCAACATCCATATTATAATTGACACCCATAAAAAGAGCAACACGTTCATTCGGAAACAAAATATTTTTTTTTACACTACTCACAATTCAAACTTTTTAAAGAAACACTCCTAACAATTTTAGTAAATTAATGAAACTTTTCCAAGTAAATACAAGACATGATTTCAACAATATTTATCTTTTCCAAAACTCTCTAAGCATGTTATAACTAACACTATTCTCAGACAGCACATTAAAGAATGCCCTGGCAAAACCCATTACAACCCCTCCCCCTTACACAATTGCAAAACATACCTGAAAAACCAAGGATAAGCAACCCATTTCAGTAAACACACACACACACACACACTAACAACAAACTTCCCAAACCAAATTACTAAACCCACACAATCAAGGTGGTGGGTCAACACGAAGGGAACAGATTCAATATCTTGAAACACTGGTTTCCTTACCTAACCCAATACCTCCCCTATAAACTCTTCCCCACCTCAGGACATAGCCTGGCCTGGAAAAGGGCTCAAAATTTCAGCACCAAAATCACCACAACTTTTTTCTTTAATAATAATAATCCAAATGCATCCCCCAGCCACAAACAAGACTGAAAGAAAAGCCTCAAGATATCAAATCACTTTAAACCCAAGACATAATGTAAATACAAGCAAAACTTATTATTCCGACACCAACCAAATGTTCCCAGAACAAGTCATGGGAAACACTCGCTGGGGTCTCTAATATAGTACACCCTCTATGTCACCTATAACACAAAGTGCAAAGGAGCACTGATAACAACAAAGCACATCACCCATCTACTCCAAATCCCTGGAACAATGCAACTGCTCCCAAAAAGAAACTGCATCATTAAAAACCACATCCAATGAACAGGGGAACAATCCGACATACAGATCCAACACCGGCCACAGTATGATACATCTAAGACTGCGGTTAGTGGAAATGCATTACACGACACCAAAGTTATGCCTTTTGTTCAAAATGATCCTGAAATGTCAAGTTCCCAAACAACACACCCTATTACGGAGTGCCCAGAATAGGGAAAAACTCTGAAAACACCACAAGAATAATAAACATGGCCAGAAATCCGTGCTCAACTACTAAAGATAATTTTCTATAAACTAAATCAAGTACCCGTGTCTCAAACGTGAAGAGAGACAGAAAAGCCCCAGTCTCGGTACAATATTGCAATTATCAGTGCTATATTCCACTGTGTAAAAACATTCACATTCATAAATGGGCTACCAATTCTTATGTAACCATTCAAAAGGCATGAACCAGAGCTCCACACACATCTACAGCAGCCGCGACAATGTACTAGACAAAGCCACACTAGACAAAGTATTTGGGGATTTCATATACATGAATATGTGCACAAATAAACAATTTTATGTTAAGACTTTCCTATTCTTTTGGGTTCAATTTTATAGCTCACTTTTTGTTAAATCGGTTCTGTTTTACCAGTAAATCACTCCCATTCACCAACGATGCGGACTTTACTAATGTGCAAAATGAACATTTCTCACTCACCTAAAGTACTTTCCAGAAACTCCTTCCAGCTCAGAGTTCAGTGAGACATATATGGTTGTCTGGGCTCCCTGGCGAGGCGTCTTCAGAAACAGCCACAGTAGCGGGTAAAGGAATATTTTGGCTGTCCAGCTATTGTTTATACTCATATGCCTTCCTAATTCAGTAAAAACAATCCCAGGATGAACAGCATTACATGTCACTCCACTTCCTGGAATTCAATATTAAATATTACATTACAGTATTTTGATTTTGAACCTAAAAAAGATACTTACTGTAATATGAAACATATTCTGCTATATTGCAATAAACAAGTTACTCGTTAAATCCCTCATTGCACCATGGGAAGGACTTACAATGGTTCAGAATATCATAATATCTTCACTTCTTTAATGTGCAGGTTTTTGTATTCATTCGTTCTAGCATCGTCTACTACCTTCCCTTTTGATTTCTTACCTTCTAATCTTTCTGCCAGTTCTTTGGTGAACAAGATATTGGCTAGCTTGCTCTGAGCATATGCTTCTCCTTCATCATACGTTTTATCGCTGTTCAGGTCACTGAAGTTTATAACTCCACGCTCGTGTGCAACACTCGACACATTTACAATACGACTTGGTGCTGAAGCCTACAAATAAATATCAATTTATTATTCACCCTATCAATTGATAGTGTACTGTAATATAGTACTCAAAACACACGTTACACTGAGATATAAACGTGCATTCAGTTTGCAAATTATTTTCTCAAAGTCATGTCTAAACCTAACAAACGACCCACAAATAAAAAACTGAAAGCTTGTCTATTTTCCAACCAAATAGGATTTACAGTATAGTACTCTACATTATATTGTAATACCCAGTTTCATTAAAGATGACACGTTGGTTTGCTAGTCATTAGACACTATTCACTATTGAAACAAACAAGATAAAGAAACTTTTTCACAAACTTAAGCATTACAGATTCACAGCAATATCACTTGTAGAAACTCTAGTCACCATATTAGCCAATCACACAGCGCCATTTCACTTGACCCCATGTGCACCGACCTACTCTCATACTATAAAATTACAAAACTTCCTCCTAACACAAGAAACCTGTCCATGCAGGGAATGATTGGGAGCATTACAATATCACCCTCAAACATTTTCACAAAATTAAGAACAAGATTATCCAAGCTATTTATTTTCCTACTCCCACACATATACATTCAAACTAAAGGAACCAAATGTAAATCATGCACAAACCGGAACAGGCTACTCCTTTATACAAACAAGAAATACCCACAATGAGATTGCTCCTGACCACCATTCAAACCTCATTCTACTTAAACTACAGTAAACTGCATATTCCAGCATAAATATGCTTCTGGCTCCCATTGCAAAATGTCGTTGCAATGACATTGCAATGTCATCGAGTCATGAGACCCATCTACACTTTGCCCTCAAGAGTGTTACATATCACAAGGTTTATTTACCATACCTGCCATGAACTGGGAAGGTAAAGAGTGTATCTAGGCCCAAAGATTCCTTGCCTAACCCTGTCACTCTACACTACAGTATTAAATAATACAAAGTCAAACAAATATGTCCATGACATAGGCTGTTGGGTACATAGATTTTTCTACACTTCAAAGAGGTGATGAAGGAACAGCCGACAAGACTAAACTGTCTCATTGTGGACAGAACTCCGAGATGGTATGCAATCACTGACCCACGCCACTGCTATGTACCGCTACCATGGGTATTTCTGAAAACCAACAAACAAGCCAGACAACTAAGTCAATAACATTTACAGACCTTGAATAATGTGAGGAAGCATGATCTGGGAAATAAACAATAATAGAAGGAAGAGATATTAATTTTAACAACAAATATAATTTGCCAAATTATAGCAAATCTTTTAATATAGCCTTTCTTAGGTGGATCCAATAATTATGTGGAGAAAGTGCTCAGGCACTTTGACTTTACTGTATAACACTTACAAGGGATACAAGGTCAAGGAGCTGGGGTTCGAAGATACGGTTAAACAACAGTGCCCAACCTTTTGGGCCATCGGCCAATGAATGCCAACCCAGCATGAAGCAAGGCCGACACTATTGACCACTCGGAGAGTACCGACAATAAGGTAACTTTTGATTATAATTACAAAGAACAACACTCTTGCCAAGTACAGTACATCATTATTCTTTTCCTGATAAACAATTCTCTATTTAACAAACCATTTGGGAAGGAGTTGCACATATATTTAATAAACAAGTAAACTATTTTTCTGATGTACCTTGATCTTGTCAAGAAGAAGATTTGTAAGAAGGAAGTGTCCAATATGATTCGTCCCGAGTTGCAGCTCAATACCTTCTTTGGTGAAAGACTTTTTACATCGCATCACTCCAGCATTGTTGATTAATATATCAATGCGTTCCTCTTCTGTAATAATTAATAATGTATATACTACACTGCAGTAAACATCAACACACGTGCATATAATAGTACAGTACATGTATGCATCCTAGATTGTAACCATTTACCAATTACTTGACATACTAACACTATTAGAGTGGTGGAGGTAATAGAACTAAATATTTGTGTGCACTTCTAAACCAAAACTCTGAACTGGGGCAACAACCAGCAATCATAATCAGGAAGGAGACGAAACCGAAAAGGGAAAGAAAAACTCTCCCCCCCCGCCCCTGCCCATAAGTCCCAGGGAGCCTAAAATGTCATACACCCACAAGCACTCTGCATATAAATAAGTCACACATCACATCTAACAATTCCACACGACCACATAACATGGAGAGAAGGCAAGATAGAAGAGTTTGCCTGTGGCACAAGACATCACAAAGACAAGAGAGAGAGGGAGGGTGGGAATTCATTAATTAGTAATTTGGAACCGAGGCACAAAATCTAAAACATTACAAATTCCAGATAGACTGCTTGAAATAATGCAGTCAACAGATGTTGTCTCACTTTCAGTACTCAAGAAATGTGCATTTAAGGTTAGTGGCCCAATACAGATTATCTTTACAAACAGGTCATCTTTTTGAAATGGGGATACTGGGAAAACCAACTATACACCTAAATCATTGCTAAGCATGGTATTAAAAGGCCTAGAAAACTATTATTAAAAGCAAATTGAGTACTGTATTTGAAAAAGAATGATATAATAATGCACAACAGTTTTGATTTTGAATGGGAAGGTCATACGTAACAAATCTACGTAATTTCTACGACAGTCAAAGAAATATTGCCAAGGAAGGTTCGGCCAACTGTATATACAGTACCCAGACTGAAACAACCTGACACCAGATATCTAGTAGTAGTTCTGTATAGTAAATACAGTACTCACTACAGTACCATACAAAAGGCATTTTGAGAGGAGCCTATGCTACACTAGCAAACTTCATAACTCCATTTAAATATAGGCATAGAGAAATATTACAAAACTAGTCAATTCTTCAGACTAAAATTAGAACACTCAGCAGTGGTGTCGTGCCCATAACTCATGAATCGCAAACAAATTCAACAAAATATGCAAATGCATCCTTCTACATGCCTCCCATAACTTGAGAACATGAGCCAAGAGGCTGAAGGCATTAAACATGAAAATGCTAGAAGATAGAAGGAAAAAGAGGCAATATGATCACTATGTATAAAATTGTTACAGAATCCAAACTATACACAAGTTTTTAAACCTGCAACTTCATGAACAAAATGCCACACATTCAAGAAAACAAAACAAAGGGGTTGAATAACACAAGAAAGCAAAGTAAAGTACATACTTTCAACAAGTGAGAAGATGGTTTATTACAAAACCATCAGCTGGGAAGGCAGAACGCAAGTGACGTTCTCATCTTTTTTACACTAACGTCATTACTGTACATACATGGTACATTATATAGATAACTACATCTCACAATTTTACTTGCTACTTACTCTCATTCACCCTCTTTGCAAAGTTCCTGATTGATTCTTGTGAGGCTAAGTCACACTCCTGGCAAAATACGTATTTATTTCGAGAAGCCAGCGCAATATCTTTCCTTGCCTAAAAAAAAAAAAAACAGAAATATCTGAGATCTTGGAAACCAAGTTTGCAATTCACAACAAAAACCTTTATAGATTCAGTATATCAGATGTTTCAAATCAATTATTTATTAGACAGCAAATCCATTTCTAACCCATTCTTTAAGCAAGTCATAGTATTTCAATTCCTTCATCCAACCTCTTGACACTTCTTCATGTCCCTGCATGCCATAATGACTCTGGCTCGCCGCATGGCCATCTCCAAGGCAGTCTCTCTCCCAATACCAGTGTTTGCTCCTGTAATGATGACCGTCTTCCCCTGTAGGCTCTCTGTTCCATTATATTTACTGCCTCCAAGAAATTCCCTGCAATTTAAATCAATTTAATTACTACAATTTCACTTTACTCCATATTTCATTCATATTTATCTTTTAATAAATCATGACATTGATTAAAAGTAAGGTTTGATGCTATGGCCAAGGACACGACATTCACAGACAAATTAATGAAATCAATGTCATGGAGAAAGTTTTCCTAGATGACCTACTTTTCAACAACACATAATACAGTAGTACTTTTAGTATTTACAATTAGCTATTGTAGCACAGGTAAAATAGATAACTTTACATTTACACATGACAATAATTACACTCAAGTCACAAAAATGCATAGGATTTTGAGCAAATCTAAAAGTAAAATGGCCAAGAATTAAATTTATTCTTAGTCTAGTACTTAAGATTTATGCACCTTTTAATAATGATAATTCATTATGTCTGGGGAGATGGGAAACAGTGTACTGTATATGTACACGCTGCCCTTGTATCAAAGTAACTACAGACCCTTCCAAGAATACAACCCCACAACAAGCTAACTAACTCCTATTTACTGCTACGTGAACCTGGGCATTAGGTGATAAGAAATGTGGCCAAATATTTCTGTCCCGCCTGCGATTCGAACCCAGAATTCTCTACTGCGAGTCTAAAACCAATCCGACTGTACATTCATAAATCCATACCAACACAGAAATTATTATTTAAGGCTTAACAGCTTACTAGCAACATAAAATGACAAATCCTACTGGCCCATTGAAAGCAGACTATCTTATTTTGCACAATCAGTCAAGAACACAACCCCCTCTCTACTCTAAGAGCCTAAAAAAGTAACTCTTCTAAGGAGGATCCCCTTCCCCATAACCCACTCATAACCCCTCCCTTCCAAGTCTAAGATTGTTGCTCAAAGAGGGACCTCCCTAATCTAAGCCCCAAACAGGGGAACGCTATGCATGCTACTGCCTTTACAAGAATTTAAAACTTCAATGATCTGTACTCCCATAAACCCAATGTACCTTCTCGTATATAAATTACAAAAACCATTCTCCCATTCCCCATCTCTAACGGGGAAACTTTCCTGCTTCTGCAGTCTCCGTGGCATAGTGGTAAGACGCTCGCCTGGCATTCCACGAGCGCTTTGCCCTGGGTTCATATCCTGGCCGGTGAGGATTTACTGGACGCAAATCCTTAACTATAGCCTCTGTTTAACTTGACAGTAAAATGGGTACTTGGTTGTAAAAACGATTCTTCGTGGGGGTCATATTCCAGGAAACGTAGGATTAAGGACTTGCCCGAAACACTACGCATACTAATGGCTGTATAAGAATGTAGCAACTCTTGTATATATCACCAAAAAATAATAATAAAGGAGGCCCAAACAAGCCCCCAGAGGCAGCATCTCCAGCACAATACACTCACTTGAACAATATGACACCTCCCACCATCGAGCCAAACACACTGACCCGGACCACACTTTTGGGCACGTTCCACCTCATCCTTGACCACGTCACTTGCTCTTCTTAAATGTCTGAAAAGTGTGAGTAGCAAGCTCCGGTGCCAGATAAGTCCACTACGGGCTTACCATAGCCCGTGCTACTTGCCCCGCTCCTGTGTCAGGTATATTACGGGCTCACCATAGCCCGTGCTACTTGGAACTTGTTCCGAGTAGCAGAATCTATAACAACATGTGAACAAGTCCAGTGAAAAGCCCGAGCCGGGTTGGGTATGGAACCCGGTTATAATTGACAAATTGTTCACGTAATTCACTCCATTATCCTGTCCAGCAATCCCCTGATGTAAATTAGAATTATATTACGATGTTTATTTCATGATATATTCCAGAAATATAATGCACTAACAAATGAAATACAGTTGTATATATAGCTCTCAGCCGTATTATATGAACTGTATTTATGGACACTGTACATGTTTATACAGGGTGATGAAACACTACTGGAAAATAGAATCTACTTACAGTCCCTAAAGTCGACGATCTAAGCGACAATGTGGAGCGACTTATCCCAAACATATTATTGGCTGGAGTGTGTTTGCTGGCAGATCACACTGTGATCTGGCAGCAAACGTTAATCTAACTAATAAAGTAAATTTTACTCAGGAAAATACATACATAGTTGATTTACAAACATAATGTTGGATTTATAGATAGAGCTAGTACATACAATACCTAAAAAACGTACGTATAGCGTTTCGGGCAAGGAGAAATAAACTCGCACATTTAATAGGTGATATTAAATCAAATCAAATCAAATGGGGTAAGGTACATACATACAAGAGATTTTACAAAGAGTGATGGATTTATAGTTAGGGCTAGTACATACAATGCCTAAAGCCACTATTACGCAAAGCGTTTCGGGCATGAAAAACTTAAAACTTAAAAAACTTAACTATTAGAATGCATATTTATAACTATGTTGCATAAATAGCGACAAAACATTTAAGATTTATTAAAAACAAAAGTATCAACTGCACAGTGATTTGTGTATAACAATCTCTCTAGTTGTAAGGGGCCTTACTTGACACTAAGCCCAGAAATCATCTCAAGATAGCCATCAATATCACAAGTGAATGAACTATCACTTGTCTTCACTAAAACTAAGTCCCAATTGGACTGACAAATGGCAACGTCTACAATCTTCCCAAACTTAGGCAGTTCACAATGACAAATTTATTATATATTCTGTATGGATTTTAAAGTGCAGAATGACCTGACAAGTGGTTTAGTTTAGTTTATTTATTATGTAATAGGATCTACTTACGAGTAAGTCTTACATTATTCCAGGATTAATGACTTGCCCGAAACGCTAAGCGTACTAGTGGCTGTACAAGAATGTAACAACTCTTGTATATATCTAAAATAAAATGTACCCCCCCCCATACCCATCTTGTGGGCGGTAGTGGAAAGGGTTACAGAAATTGAAATTGAAATCAGTTTATTGAGGTAAAATACACACAAAGGGATGAGGTATGAAATAGGCTTTAGGTAGCTCAAGCTATTCTCACCCCGTTCAGTACATCGTGTTAATACATACATAGACACACATCACAAGCAATAAACGTATTACCGAACATTCTGAGAGATAAACATATACATTTCCTCCTTTACACAAATAAGGGTTACAGAGGCATATCCATTAGCATGACCATTAGGGTGAGCGCCATCTATGTTTTGACAGCAGCACTACACATTAACCCCGCGTTACGCTATGATCAATATGTGTTAGGGTCAGTTGCTAGTCTATATATGTTTCTGGACACCGTAAGTGATGTGTGGCTTGTTGCGAGCGGAGGTCAGTAGTAACTGTTTGAACTGTGTTGGGGGAGGATGTGTCCGGGTGTGGCTGACCAGCCGGTAAGTTACGAGTCTCTAATGTGTATTTAAGCGCGGTTTTGTAATAGTCATTTGTGCTAATAACCAATTTAAGGGTGTTTTGAGATTTGATAGGTATCGATAGTGATATAAAGGTGGAGGGGGGATAAATTGTGTAATTAAAAGTAAATTACCTTGTCAAGTTATGGCAATTGGCTTAAATCTATTGTGGTAAAGTTACTTTAATAAAAATATTTCTAAATATAGATTTAGCTTGGTTAAAACTTAACTTGATACATGAATTGCTTAGTTTTACAAATCACTTTGATTTAACACTTGCATATAGTTGAGGCAACATAGTGATAACGTTTGTGATGTGTACCTTGACTTTAGCAAAGGTTTTTTGATAGTGCCACATGGAAAAATTGAATAAAAGGAGCACTCAATATTGGGAGTGTTGTATAAAGTTTAGGGCATGGCTAGTATAAATGGTTAGTATAATGGTTAGTATAAATGGTAAAGGGACTGTTGAAAGTAGTGCATCAAGGCTCTCCTGGGACCTCGGTTGAAGATTTGAGCAGGAATAATTGCAGAATTGCAAAATAAAAAAAATGGGAAAAGAAATAAATGCTTGCCATCACTTGAGTATCTAAAGAGTTTTGAAATGGTAAAGATTGCCAGATGCAGTTTAATGCAGACAAATGTTAGGTTTTGAGGCTAGGTAATAATGGTACATGTGAGCTAGATGGTGTTTATTACAAAATGGATCAGTTATGGTGATAAAAATGCATAAATGTTCATTAGGCAAATGGGATCATGGCTATAAAATGGAACGCATCCAACATAGGATGACAAAAGTTAATCCCGCAAATTGGAAACCTATTTGAAGATTGAAAAGGCTTAAATGCCTGCCTGTAAAAAGGTAAAGAATTGGTGACACGATAAGTGTGAAGGTGGACAAATGGTCCTAACAAAGGGAATATCAATGGGGTATTGAGGGTATACACAAGATATAACCCAAAACAAAGGGTATAAATGATACTTCAGCTTTAGGAAAGACCTGGGTGAACATTGTTTGGTAATAGGTTTGTTTGGTGGAACCAGTTACTGCGTCACGTTGTGCAAGTGGGATGCCTAGATTTTAAACTGTAGGTTAAATCTTCAATACGAGATTGGAAGGATATAAGGAGCTGCCTTGTATGGGCGAACAGCCCTTCTGCAGTTAGCTTTATTCTTGTTCTAACCTGCTTAGACCTAAAGTTTTAATCACAAGCCAATATGGCTATTAACCAGAAAATTTATATAATGCAATTCATTGAAAGCCGAAGTTGATAATGTAACTATGCTGTTGACTGAAGAGTTAAATAGGTGTTGCCTCACCATACCAAAACTTTAATCTTGGTAATCTAGCTTACAGCAGCTCTTTCAAAAATTTAATTTCCTGTTCCTCTTGTCCTCCAAGTTTATTACTCTACTCTAAATGACTAAGTAGGGTAATTGTCTGCAGATAACATGCTCCCTTGCCATGTTAGGAACTAAAATCTACATTGTTTTATAAAATGTCTTGCCTCTACTTGTCAAATCCTGTGAAAAATATGGGTGTAGAGCAAAGGGTGAAAGACAATTTGCAGTGAAATGTTAGTATTGGGTATGGCTTCTGCCAATGTTGGCTGGCACCACTGCCTGTGAGTATTTAACTTTGAGCAGGACTGGCATGCAGTTTATAGGCTACTGATTAAATTAATTGTATTCTATTCTTGGCTATTAATGTCCATGCCAACTCTTGGGTGGCTTAATCTTCATAAATAAGTGGTGCTGCATGGGCTACTTATTGTTAGCAGTCTACATTTTGTAGGCTGGCCCCTTGTTTGGATCTGTGCTCTACCCACTTAGCTATGAGGCTGCTTATGCTATCGTGTGCAGTATTCTTGAATTACAGGCATACAGCCTGTAATTTTAAAGCCTTGTTCCCCTTGAAAAAGGGGAAGGAAGTGGGAATAGGTTTCTGCTTCCTTTCCTAATTTCTTAGGAGAAATATAGATGGGAGACAGTGCTCCAATATTATGAGCATAGTGGTGGTATCCCTAGATTTGATTAATGTTAAATTATCATTCGTGGTATACTATTATGTAATTATAGTTAAATTGTATATGCTTTAAAAATTAGGTCTAAACATAATTTCCATAATTGTTGCTTTCCTACTGTAGATAAATTTTGTACTGTAATTGACTTTATTACCATACCAAAGTACAGTACTGGTAATTTAACTATTAAAAACATTGCTTTCTGCTGCCCAGTTGAAAACTTGTTAAAAATACTTTAAAATCCTCTTTTAAAGGTATTTAAGAAATTCTCATAAATTTTGTCCTGCATTAATTCTGCAAATATTCCTAAAATTTACTGCATTTTTTGTTCTTGTCCTATATTAACCCTTTAATTGTATTTGCAGGTGGTAAATACTCTTTCGGCTGCTACAGCTCTCCAGCCCAGGGTGTCGACTGCCTAGTCTTCAACTGCCTCCCAACATGGTAGCGAGGTCCTGAGCTGATGTACCCTATGGCGAAGATTGAGGAAGTAGTTTCCTGAAGTAATGAATGGCACTTTATAACCAGCAGCCGGCACCAGCTCTGGACAACGTCGGAGTGGACAAGGCCCAGATCCCGTGGGGAGGAAGGTCTACACTAACATGTAAAAGGTAGATAATCTGACCCTCTCCCCCCCCTCCCCCCCATTGACAGTTTCACAGGTCCCCCCTTTTCCACTTCATTAGCTTGTAAAGCTTTATCTTAAACAGCAGCTTAACTTGGCATTTATGGCTTTAGTGGGACTTCCATTGGATAATAGTGGGTGGGAAAAGCATCTTTTGTTCTGCATTAGTGTTTCTCTTTAAACTTTTGATTCAATGTTGCATTCAACTTTATCTAGACATCACAGAAAATTGATCAATTTGCAAAACGAAGACATAGATGGCATCCTATCTAGCTTGCATTGTACTATTTTTACTAATGTCAGTTTCATAGAGAATGAATTATTGGCTGGTATTAAATATCGTCTAAAGTAGATAAAATCGGTGTCCATGCTGTGGTATTAGTTGGGTGAACGAGATTAATGCAAGTTATTTAATGTGCTTGGTTTCCTTGCCAGTTGTGTGGTAGGTTGTGAAAAGCTTTAAGGGGTCCATTAGGTATGTTTTTTCAAAATGGTTAGATTTCACTTTTTGACCCTTTGTATATGGAAAGGGTTTAATCTGGTCAATCTCGGCATCATAGAATAGAGAAATATTGAATTGGGTGTAAAAAAAAAAAAATCGGAAAAAATGGTGTCGACTGAAATGTCTGACTGGCTATCACAACAGCCTATATTAAAAATAAATTAGTTGTAGTAAAGATTTTTTAAATTCGTTTATTTTAGAATTTGCATGAAACTTGTACACCTGATGGCATGTAAGCCTATCTGTAAGGGTGCCAAGGGGTCCAGGAAATTGGTTGTCAACCTCTGCCACAGATGGCAGCACCTTGCTTTATTTTGTTTAAATAACAATGTTCATAAATTTCATTTTTTTAATAAATTTACATGAAACTTACACCTTCGTGTCTAAAATCTGTAGTTGGCATTTTTTTCACAAAGTTCATTTATTGATTTAATAATAGCAAGAAGTGTTAAATTTGCATATTTTTGGGGGCACTTTGACTATTTGTATTAGGAAAACTGAAAGTGTTGGAAAAACCCAACTTCATATCCTTCATATGGTCATGTTAGAAAAGTCGTAGAATGATTATCTGAAACGTGTGGTTGTATATACACACTTGAAAATGTAATATTCGTTAAAAAGAGAAATTAAATCTTTCTATTTAGGCTGCAGTACTGAAACTTTGAACTGTTGCATCTCTTTTCATATGAAAAGTCCAAAAAAATATTGGTCGACATTGAACTTTTACAATAAACTAATATAATGGTCCCTTAAAAAATCCATGTATGCAGTTGCTGGAAGTACTTTATTAGGTGGTTAATTTGCAAAGTTTGCATGACAGCCTTGTTCATATAATTTTTTTTGGTTCAAACCCCCCCCCACAAACTACATTTCTTTAAATATTTAATCAAAATGGTGACTGAATCTGAAAAGATTCCAAAAGCAGACTAGATTGGATGCAGCTTTTCTGCTGTGCTACTTGTGGCCTGCATAAATGGGAGGAACATCTGCAAAATTCCAATCTAGGGAAGTATTAGTTGGTCTAGAGGCACTTCATGGAAAGTGTCCCTAACTTTACTTTTAAATGTCCACACCTGTGGCTTTAGAATCTTTCGGCTTTTTCCCCTTGTATCTCTTACTATGGTCTCTAAATTCATTTCCTACACCTGCTTAAAATATAAATTGTGTATAAAGTTGAATACTGATTTAATAGTGAATTTAATGTTTGATGCATTGATTAGAAGATACGTTAAGGTGGAGCCAGTGATGATACTGGTTATCGTCATCTAGTATGTGGTTTGGTCAAAATGTATTTGGTCACGATAGTCTTCTGCCATGTTGGATGCCCTTGTATTGCTATTAAGGTTCTAAAGTGTACTTTGGGATATTTTTGAGTTTCTTGCAGAATTTGAATCTTCAGTAGGTTCAGATTTTTATATGCTGGACATGTTCCAGGAGGCTTTGCTTCGTTACTAGGTTGAATTACCTGTACAATCCACATAATGTAGTTCATTATAGGTGCGAATGATACTTGGGAAAGCTATTATTCCCATAATACTTAAATATTGTATCTATTTAATCACAAAGGTGCTTCAAACTTGCCGTTATTGTTCCTTGTCTGAGGGTAGTGAGAAATTGTCCAGACTTTCTACATGGTGAATATATTCTATAACATTTCCCTGAAAGTAATTACAAAAGTAGGTAATTATTAGTTTCTTTAAATTTGGATAAAATTAGAATTGCTTTGGTAGTTTTAGGTAGATAATTTTAGTCAATCAGATACCATGTTGTGTAATCTAGTTTTATTAATTATGCTAAAAAGCTTTTTATATTGGAAGTCTTTGCACTTGTTTCCTAAGATTGGCATCATTAGGTGCATATTCCAGCTTCAGGAAAAGTTGTAAATAGATAATGAAATGTATATTTGTATGTATAAATGTATTTCTTTGTTGGAATATTTTAAAGGCTGTAGGTTGTGCTTATTGTAATTTAGCATTAACATATTGTCCAGTCTTAAAGGCCATGACAGTTAGGTTTATAATCTAGTATCTTGGCATAGATAGCAAACATGTTTATAAAATTTAGTATTAATTTTAGTAAGTTAATTATCAATAATTAACACTAGTTGTGTAAAATGTGTGGTACTGCAGTTTAATAATTATGGTCCAGAATCTTGTTGGATGTTAGAATTTGAGTGAGTGAATATTTCCAGAAAGTTGATGAACAGTGGCCATACCTATTGGAATAGATAAAAAGGGCAATTTGAAAGTCATGAGGTGACACCCAAGCTCTGGGATGCTGTATTAATTTGTTAGCAGGTAAACTTATATTGCTTGTTATGGGAGACTGGCCACTGTAATTCTCTACTCGATATACAGGCTAAATAGTCTCTACTATGAAGTCCATATGCTATTGTCAAGAAAGTACATAGGTGGGTCTTAGGTTATGCATTGGATGAGGAAAATGGGAATGTATAACTTGTCCTTGATGATAGTTGTATATTTTTTAGCTAGTATGTTGCATAATAGAAATAATTTGTGGTAAAATGTTCATTGCACACAATGGCACCAGCTGTTAAATGATATTGATCAGTGCATTGTTACTAAATTCTTGGAACTTTTCCTTGCATGGTCAGTAATTTAAGAATATATGGTAATTATTTTAGAATTGTATACTTGCCTATTGTATTTAAGCTTATTGTACGTTTCTAAAATTTTCTAATGTTATACTTTTACTTTAAAATTATGCACTTAAGCAGTTTATGAATATTAGTTTAATAGAAATTAATAGTATGTATACATAAATTTATTAATTCGGATTTTCTCTTGACGGGTGGAGATGCATTATCTGCAATGACCCCTGTAATGTATTTGTTGGTAGTAGCATATAACTTTGGGTATGGCCTCTTATGTTGGTTGATGTTGTCGCTTATTGTAAATAGTGAAGAATCATGGTACGAGAGCTGTTCTCTAAGTTTATTAAAACAAGCTTTTTGGCCATTTTAGAATACTTAATATTCTTGGCACCATCTGTCTTGAGACTAATAGACTTGCATTACTAGATAATAAATTTATGGGTGTCATGGGCAGTTGACCTTCCTTATGAGCAACAAGGTGATGCAAGGTAATTTTTCCCCACACTTTGATGTAGTTGTTTAAGCCATAGTGTGGTGCGTGGGATTGAAGAAATAATCAGCGCTCCACATTGTGATAAGATGGATTCCTGTTGCATTGAAGCCTGCAAGTTGAATAAATGTTTTGGCAAATATTGTAGTTATAATACTATACACTTGTAATACTTATTATAAACACTGTATACTTAATACTGTTAATTTTTTTATTGATAAATACCAGTTTATATTGTTAATGAGAATAATAAGGATTATAGCTTGGTGAAAGGGTGGTTATATTAATTTTAGAAGTACTTTGTTATAGCAAATGTTCGTTTGAAGGTAGTTGAAATGTAATTCTTATAAATTACCCATTTCTAATAGTCGGCAACATCAATTTTAAAGTATTGAAGGCATTGTAGGAAGTCTTTCCCAAAGTAAAGGTATATTGGGGTACTTAATGTAGGTGTATGTAAGCTAAAAGTTGAAAATGTGAATAGAACATTAATGTTGTATAGATTGTCACTGCCCATCCTGTAGATATTAGTCATGGCAAGTTGTCTACTAAATGAGGTCCCCCCCCCCCTAACCCCAACCCTTTCTTGCTTGTCATGAGGGAGGGGGCTTGGTGTGCAGCTGCTGGAATGATGCTCCATGGGGTCAGTCCTGTCATTTAGAGGCCTTGTGCTCCTGTTGCTGTCTTCACCAATTTTGCTAGACACTTTAACTTTTAGTTTCAATTTTCTAACCCCTCTTCTCATTTCCAACTAATCATTTCCTGCTGACCTTTTGCCAGTCTTGATTATTCTTTGACTTCTCTTTTGATGCATGGGTGTTTCGGGAGGTATACTCGCCTGTCTAGAGTGAGGGGGGACCCCTTTTATCACTCGTCCTTTCGTCGCTGAACACACTTTACACTGACGGTTCTTAAGGTGGCGTACAATATCAGTTTAGTGTCGTTGGAGGAATTGCTTTGAATAGCGCAAAGAATTTTCACTTGTGAAGTGGGGTGTTAACTCTTAAATTGAATAAAATCTGAAGTTGTTTGTTTATAATTAAAATTATATTTAAAGTAAATTTGTCTGCTTAATTTTCAGTGTTCAGTTAATTGTTTGGCTAGAAGTTTGTATTGTATATAAATTTAACAAGCGTGATGCATCAAATGAACAATCTAAATGGGCTGTGTTCAAATGTCAGAAGATTGCAGATGCACCTTAATTGACTGTGCCATGACATGGTAAAAGAATTGCAACTGGGAGGTCTACTGACCTCATGGCTCCAGGTTTGAACCCTCATGGATTTGTTAATCTAAATTTTTTTAGTTAAAAAGATAATTTCATAATTGAAAGTAGTTACAGAATACAAATTAACTGGTACCTGTACTTGATCTTTTAATAATATAACTGAAGTTTAAATAGGCTTTTTCTTTCAGAACATAGATTGGAAAGTCCTAAACTACATTCCTGGAGTTTGAAGGTGTCAATTGACATTCAGAATCAGGTGTGTGGTAGTATTTTAAACAGATTTGCATTATATTAAATAGTAAAGTTAAAATCTCTCATTATGGCTAAAGATAATCTGAATGATTGCGTATAATGTAAAGAAAAAATTGCCATGAGTCTGAAGTATCTTTCTCAAGTTTAATGTACTCGAACTTGGATAATGGCTACTCAAACTAATTTTTTTTGCTTGATTAGCATTAGTGAGAAGCTGACAATATTAACATTTTGGTAATTTGAAAGGAACATTATCTATTGTGAATTTGTGTAAACTTGCAAAAGTAAAATAAGCCCAATACAGAATTTATAAGCTAATTTGGTTAAATGTTTCTAATGCTTTTATAGATTACAATGGTATCCAAGCATTGACTGACTTGAAGTGTGGCTGTTCTACTCTGCACATCTATGAAGCTGGTATGTTGAATTAGTTTTAGCTATATCAATTGCCGTACCAATATGGGGGATGTGGGGGATCCTAACTAAAAATTTGTTTGAAAATAAAATTTCAGTAGCATGCCTTTAATTTTTACTTAAAAGGGCTTTATTCTAGAATTTATAAATGAAAGATGGTGGGGGAAGTAGCTAATTTATTGTAGTTTTAAAAAGGCAAATATTGAAGTTTAAAGATAATTCTTTTCTTTGCACAGCAATTTTTTAACCATATTTAATGTTTCATTGACAGGTTGTGGAGGGTCCTTCCAACATAATTTCAGGGATGGTGTACAGAACAATTGGTGAAAGTTATGCTACAGAAAATAGTTGTGTGAGAGAATTAGTTGGTAAAAGTAAGTTTACTGATATAATTAGTTTAATAGCTAGTTTTTAAATATTTAGGTGAAATATGTAATTGTGAAGGGGCCTTGAAATGGGAAAATAAACTAGTTCTAGGCCTTGACAAGCGGGGTACAATATCAGTTTAGTCTCGTTGGAGGAATTGCTTTGAATAGCGCAAAGAATTTTCACTTGTGAAGTTGGGTGTTAACTCTTAAATTGAATAAAATCTGAAGTAGAGTTTATTTATAATTTTATATTTAAATGTAAATTTGTCTGCTTAATTTTCAGTTCAGTTAATTGTTTGGCTAGAAGTTTGTATCATATATAAATTTAACAAGCGCGATGCATCAAATGAACGATCTAAATGGGCTGTGTTCAAATGTCAGAGGATTGCAGATGCACCTTAATTGACTGTGCCATGACATGGTAAAAGAATTGCAACTGGGAGGTCTACTGACCTCATGGCTCCAGGTTTCAACCCTCATGGATTTGTTCATCTAAATGTTTTTAAGTTAAAGATAATTTCATAATTGAAAGTAAAAAGAAAGTTACAGAATACAAATTTACTGGTAACTGTACTTGATCTTTTCATAATATAACTGAAGTTTAAATAGGCTTTTTCTTTCAGAACATGGATTGGGAAGTCCTAAACTACATCCTAGAGTTTGAAGGTGTTGATTGTTTGACATTCAGACTGAGGTGTGTGGTAGTATTTTAAACAGATTTGCATTATATTAAATAGTAAAGTTAAAATCTATCATGGCTAAAGATAATCTGAATGATTGCATATAGATAATGTAAAGTAAAAATTGCCATGAAAGTCTGAAGTATGTTTCTCAAGTTTAATGTACTCAAACTTGGATAATGGCTACTCAAACTAATTTTGTTTGCTTGATTAGCATTAGTGAGCTGACAATATTAACATTTTGGTAGATTTTAAAGGAACATTATCTATTGTGAATTTGTGTAAATTTGCAAAAGTAAAATAACCCCAATATGGAATTTATAAGCTAATTTGGTTAAATGTGTCTGGTGCTTTTCTAGATTACAATGGTATCCAAGCATTGACTGACTTTCAAGTGTGGCTGTTCTACTCTGCACATCTATGAAGCTGGTATGTTGAATTAGTTTTAGCTATATCAATTGCTGTACCAATGTGGGGGATGGTGGGGGGGGGGGATCTTAACTATAAATTTTTTTTGAAACTAAAATTTCAGTAGCCTGCCTTTAATTTTTACTTAAAAGGGTTTTATTCTATAATTTATAAATGAAAGATGGTGGGGGAAGTAGCTAATTTATTAGTGTAGTTTTAAAAAGGCAAATATTGAAGTTTAAAGATAATTATTTTCTTTGCACAGCAATTTTTTAACCATATTTAATGTTTCATTGACAGGTTGTGGAGGGTCCTTCCAACATAATTTCAGGGATGGTGTACAGAACAATTGGTGAAAGTTATGCTACAGAAAATAGCAGTTGTGAGAATTAGTTAGTAAAAGTAAGTTTACTGATATAATTAGTTTAATTAGTTTTTAAATATTTAGGTAAAAAATTATGTAATTGTGAAGGGGCCTTGAAATGGGAAAATAAACTAGTTCTAGGCCTTGACAAGTGGGGTACAATATCAGTTTAGTCCTTGCAGGAATTGCTTTGAATAGCATAAAGAAAATTTAAAATGTAGTGTTAATTCCTAAATGGAATAAAATCTGAAAGGTATATAAATATTTAAAATGAAATTGGTTTGCTTAATATGTTTGGTTTTGAATTATTTGGCTAAATGTTTGCAATCTATAAATTGGAGTGATATCTAAAATGAACAAATCCACAAGGGCTGTGATGGTTCAAATGTGTGAAGATTGCACATGTACCATAGTTGACTGCCATGACAAGGTAAATGAATTGACTGGGAGGCTTGCTGACCTCATGGCTCTAGCATTCCTGGTTTGGTGCCTTTTGATAATTACTTACTCATGGCTCCTGCAGTTGGATATAGGTTTGAACCCTCATGGATTTGTTCATCAAAATGTTTAACTTAAAAGGATATGTTCATAACTGCAAGTAAAAAAATTATTAACTGGTAACTGTACGTCATGTTTTTAATATAATTGAAGTTTAAATAGACTTTTTCTTTCAGAATATGGATTGGGAAGTGCAGAATTAGATCCTGGAGTTTGAATGCTTGACATTCAGAATAAGGTGTGTGGTAAACATTATTTTAAACAATCTAGCATTATAGGTAAAGATAATTTGAAATGATGGTTGCATGTAGATAATGTAAATTAAAAATTGACATTAAAGTCTGAAGTATTGTTCTCCACTTTGATGTACTTGTGGCTACTCAAACTAAGTTTAATGTCAATGTTTTTTGCTTGATAAGCATTAGTGACAAAATCCACTAAAATGTTAATATTGTAAGATTAAATGAACATTATCCATTGTGAATTTTCAAAGTGACTAAAGTAAAATTAGCCCAATACAGAATTTATAAGGTAATTTGGTTAAATGTTTCAGGTGATAATGAAGATTACAATGGTACCAAAGCAGTGAGGCTATTCTACTTCACACATCCAATAAACTGGTATGTTGAATTACATGTTTTAGCTATATCAAATAATTAATTTACTTTTTCATCTAGTCCATTTATAGATGTGTACCAAAGTCCTACTGTTACCACCTGCAGGGATTGATGCAGTTTGTACTGATCCTACCCCATTTCATAGAAGGGGACCAGGCAGTCCTGCAGATTTCCCTGGCTTGGCTTTTTCAGAGCCCTGCTCTACTACCCATCCAATAGATGGACTAGAATTGCATAGGTGTAGGGACCCTTAACAATGTGCAAACATTGTTAATAACTACAGGGCTTGTTCACTGAAAGAGTGGATACATCCAGAGGTTTAGTGCCTGGAACATGATGTACATAGGCTTCACAAGAAGCCTATGTACATCATGTTGAGGGCACTAAACCAAAAGATGTGATGCACTCTTTCAGCCAACAAGTCCTGCCTCAAAATGCAAGTAAGGGGTAGGCCTTGCTGAGCCAATCTTAAAAGATTGGGACTTAGGGGTTTTGGTGCTTATAGATAGGTGTTAGTGTTAATAAAATGAGTGTCCCTGTTTGATATACTTTATTTTTCTTTTACAGGTGGATGTTGTCCTTGTTACTCTGGAGTTTTCCCTGTCCTTTTGGAGTCTTCAGTGGATTGCATCTAGGAGGAGCAGCTTCCCACAACCTGAAATGGACAATAGTCAATATTAGATGTTACACTGTATACTATGCAATAAATATTCTAATGAAACTACTTTATACTGTACTTTATCCTGAAATTAGCAAAGATTCTATCATGCTGGAAATTACTGATTATTCCTGATGCAAAGTCTAACATCTAAAGAACTTCTGAAATTTATAAATAACTTACTAAAGTGAAAATTATTGGTAGGTGTTAGTATATTGAACAGGGACACTCACTTTTTCAGGTGGATGATGTCTTTGGACATTTTCTTGGCCTTTGAAGTCTCAACCTGAAACATAAAATTGTCTTAGTTATATTGTATACTATTTAATAAATCATTTAATGAAACTTTATGTACTTTATCCTGAAAGTAGCTATAATTCAACTGTGCTTGAAATTTATTACTAATGCAGTCTTCCTAACAATGACATCTAAAGAAAACTGATATAATGCATTAATTTAAACCTGCATGTATAAGAGTTATAAGTTTTCATAAAGCTAATGTAGTTTATGACAACTTAAACTTCATAAAGCTATTACAAACTTACACATGAGCATCTTAAGCATACAAAACTGAAATCATATTGACCTTTTTAAAACTTTGCATTCCAAACTGAATTAACCTGATAATAAAATTTAAAATATTTATAATATAACTACCAAATTTCACTTCTAAAACAAATGTATGGGCTAAATTTCCACTTATCAATGATGTTGCATAGCTTATGTAAAAATTTAAGTCAATGGCAAGATTAAGCTAAATTGTTTTTTTTCAATGTGCCTTACTAAATGTCACACCTTAGCCCATTATAGTAATCACATTGATTATGTATTAAAACTACAGGAAACTATACAACTTTCATACTTGCTAACAATATTGTCTAATGCTGGACAATATCAAATGAGACCAAACACTACAATTTTATACTAGTCTAAGAAAATAAAAAACTTTAGAAATGTCCAATCTGTGTTAATATTTGCTGCACTATGAAATGTCTACCAAATATTTGGAATCAACACTAAATTCACACACCAGACAATCCATTACCACTAATGTTTCAAGCTGCTGATTATAACTATTTAAAGAGTGTATACATACACTGCCTGTAACAAGCACCATAAATGGGAAGAGCTTTTCAAACTAAAATTATAAAAACTTCAGATACCTGGAATTCAATCTAAGCTCTTAAATGAACTTTCCATTCAAACTTATTGCCACTTAAACTCACTATATAGGTTCAAAGCTATTCTCAACTTTATCTGCATTTCAAATGTCACTTAAATTTTTTAAATTGCCAAGCAGAAAAATTCTGATTACTTTAACCTCACATCTGCAAGGTCCTGAAGGGGAGATTCATTCATAGTCTTGTAAAATCAACAAAACGATTTGTTAAAAAATTAACTTTTTTTAAAGATAACCAGCTATTCGCACAAGACTATTGGTACACAAGTACTTTGTTTGCTAAAGCACCATATGAAACACTAGGAATGAAATACCAGGCACATAGAATAAATGGTAGAAAGGATAAGTAAGTAATTATCAAAAGAAGGCACCAAACCGGGAAGGCTATGTAGCACCATCAAATGCGCAAAATAATCAGAGGGCGCTAAATATCACCAAGGATGCCAATACGAGAACAAAAACGCATAAGGCGAACGATATTAAAAGTATCCGAGTCACCAAGAATTCTATCGAGGGACAGGTGACCGCGAGGGGCGGTCGGAAAGCAAGACCCTGGAAGTCAGGACATTCAAGAAGGACATGCACGACCGTAAGAGGGACAATGCAACTAGGAAAATAAGGAGCAGGGCGGCGTTCCATCAAGTGACCATGGACAATACGCAACCTCGCCAGAGCAGTTTCCCACCGCCGGTTACGGTGGAAGGAGGACGGCCACGAGGAAACACAACATTTAAGAGTACGTAGCTTGTTACCAGTAACAGACAACCAAGAAGCCTGCCAACGGGTAAGGACTGAGGAATGGATAACCGGGTAAAAGTCGGAATACGGAATGCCTTTACGAGAGATGGGACAAGAGCAGACAGCTTCCTTGGCGGCAGCATCCGCACACTCATTTAAAGACACACCAATATGGCTGGGAACCCAACAAAACTCAACCGACTTAAATTTACTGTGAACGAGAAACAGCCAATGCTGGATCTCGACAACTACTGGATGAACCGGATTAAAGGACCCGAGAGCCATGAGGGCACTACGAGAGTCAACAACAACTACAAAGGAAGACTGACAACGAGAAAGCAGGAGACGAAGAGCATAGAGAACAGCATAAAGTTCCGCTGTAAAGATGCTAGTCTCCGGAGGCAAGCGACACATATAAAAGCGATCAGGAAAAACAACAGAGTAGCCAACACCGTCCGCTGACTTAGACCCATCGGTGAAGACAGAAACGGAGCAGGAGTGAGAAGAAAAGTGCTCGAGGAAAAGGCGTTTTAGAACCGTAGGAGGGGTAAAAGCTTTAATGATACGGGTCAAGGATGTACAAAACCGCGGAAGAGGGACCCTCCACGGGGGCAAAGAAGGAACAACACGAGGAGAAACATCAGAAATACGAACGGAAAGAGAATCCTGTAGGCGAGATAACCGGACAGAAAGAGGGAGGTGGTGAAGAGGAACAGGAACCGCAGGAGGGGTAAAAGTTAAAGCACGACAGAGGCGAGAGGATGTTGCAAGGACCGCGCAAGATAGCGAAGACAGTAGCGAGCATGGCGGTCCTGGAGAGACAGGAAGCCAGTGTCAACATACATGCAAAGGATGGGAGTCGAACGAAAGGCACCAGAACTGAGGCGCAACCCAGTATGGTGCAAAGCATCAAGACGGCGAAGAGTAGAAGGAGAAGCAGACGAGTAAGCAGAGCAACCATAATCGAGCTTAGACAGGACGAGAGAGGAATGTAAAGCAAGGAGTGCGCGCCTATCTGCCCCCCAAGAAGTATGGGACAAGACCCGAAGGAGGGTAAGGGCCTTAGAGCACTCAACACGGAGGTAAGAGATATGGGGAGACCAAGACAAAGAATTACTCATTATTGCTATCTAAGATAATTAGACGAGCCAAAACTAAATACTACAAAGATAAATTTACCCAAATAAAGAGCAACATTAAACAAACTTGGAGAACAATTTCACAAATATTGGGATCAAAGAAGTCTTTAAATAACAAACCGACTCTCCTGTCTAATAACGATGGTCAGCTTTCAGCCTCTGATTCTGCTATTGAGTTCAATAGGTTCTTCTCTTCCATTGGTTCATCCCATGCTAATGATATTCCATCTTCCAGTACTGACATTAAGGACTATCTTACAGGGAACTATCCACAGTCTCTGTACCTAAACCCTATTAATTCCACTGACGTCAATGAGATAATCCTTTCCCTTAAAACCAAGTCTGGTGCCCTTGAGGAGATACCAACTTTAATCTACAAAAAAGCCTCCAGATCTTTAGCCCCTGCTATTGCTTTGCTCTTCAACAAGTCACTTGAACTCCAAACCTTTCCAAATATTCTAAAAAAAGCGAGAGTAACGCCTGTCCACAAATGTGGTGATCTCACAGATGTTAACAACTACAGACCTATATCAATCCTGCCAAACTTGTCAAAAATTTTTGAAAAACTAATCTATAAGCAGCTTTACTCATATCTAGCCAAACTCAATAAACTTAGCCCTTGCCAATATGGCTTCAGGCCCAAAAAAAGCACTAACGATGCACTTATTAGTATGCTTAATTCGATTCATACAGCTCTTGATAAAAATGAGTTCCCTGTTGGGTTATTTGTGGACCTGGGTAAAGCTTTCGATACTGTCAACCACCAAAACCTTCTTCTTAAATTACATCATTATGGTGTCAGAGGACACTCCCTACAATACCTCAAATCCTACCTTACTGACAGGCTCCAATGTGTTTCTGTGAATAATACAATTTCTCCCACCCTACCCATCAACATTGGTGTTCCCCAGGGCAGCATACTTGGCCCTCTCCTCTTTCTCATCTACATTAATGACCTTCCAAATGCCTCCCAACACCTCAAACCAATTCTATTTGCTGACGACACAACCTTCATTTACTCCAGTCCTGATCCCCTTGCTCTAAATGCCACAGTAAATACTGAGCTAAATAAAGTCCATCTGTGGCTAACTGCCAACAAATTCACCCTTAACATTGACAAAACTTTCTATATTCTGTTTGGCAATAAATCCTCTAATCAAATAAATCTCAAAATAAACAATACCCAAATTTGTAACAAATTAGATGGCAAATTCCTTGGCATTCTCATTGACCACAAGCTGAATTTCCAGGGACACATTCTAAACATATAAAAAAAAGTTTCAAAAACTGTGGGAATTCTTTCTAAGATCAGATATTATGTGCCACGCCCTGCCCTGGTGACTCTCTATTACTCCCTTATCTATCCATATCTCAACTATGGTATTTGTGCTTGGGGCTCTACTACCCAAAATCACTTACGTCCTCTAATTACTCAACACAAAGCTGCTATAAGGACAATATCCAATTCTGGCCCCAGACATCACTCGGTACCCCTACTCAAATCTCTGAATATGTTAGACATTAAGTCACTGCACATTCTCTCATGTGTATTATACATATATAAAACGCTAAACTATAATGCCAATCCTGATCTCAAAAGCTTCATAGAAGGTTGTAACAGAACCCATGAGCACCACACCAGAAATAAATACAGTTTTGATATTCCTAGAGTACGACTTAATCAAACCAGAAATGCTCTACAAATCAAGGGGCCCAGAATGTGGAATGACCTTCCCAACCATGTTAAAGACTGTACCCCTCTCAACCAGTTTAAGTTAAAAACGAAGCTATACCTAATAAATTCCCTGTAACCTACCTTACCCCTTTGTTGTCAACCCATGTATGTTTTTTTTTTGTTTTTTTTTTCAATTCAACGCTGTTTGAATGTAATTTTCTGTAATAATTTGTAATTGTATTTGTGCTGCTTTTTCAACAATGTTCCCCCCTCTTTTACCTCTATTTTTATTTGTACTCAACACATTTTATTCTTTTTACCCATTAGTTTTAAGCTTTTAGTCATTAGTGTTTTTTCCTGCCCGAAACGCTTTGCGTAATAGTGGCTTTAGGCATTGTATGTACTAGCTCTATCTATAAAGCCAACAAACTTTGTAAAATCTCTTTATGTATGTACCTTTACCTAAATAAAAATTATTATTATTATTATTATTATAAGAC